TCTACCTCAAAAGCGAAAACTCTACCAATTATATATAACTCTACCATGAAACAGATAAGTCTACCGCACGTATTGACAACTTTTTTCACATAAATCTACCGCTAAAGGAAATAAGTCTACCAACTCAGAAAATAAATCTACTTCATTGTCAATAAATCTACCGAAAAAGTCAACTATGCGAGAAAGTCAACGTTTTTGTTAACAAGTCTACCAAAACTTTTGACAAGTCTACCATTCATAACAACAAATCTACCGAAACATAATAAATCTACCTCTCATCGTCAAAACTCTACCAAGAAAAGTCTACCAACATTTAAAAACTCTACCAACTCTTGAATAAATCTACCATCGCCCTAATAACTCTACCAACAAAATTTCTGCGTTGACCAAAATTTCATAAGTCTACCACAAAGCTTGGTAGACTTATGAAATTTTTAGCGCCAGAATCTGCCTACGTGGCATTAAAAAAGTAATGGCATTTTCGTAATAAGATTTTTTTCAACAAAGGCCAAAAGGGTGTTTTGGGTATGCTAGGTTAGTTTTGTAAAAAAAATAAAAGTGTGTCAAACCAGTAATATAGATACTTTCTAAGGTTAGTGTAGTAATCCTCCTTTTTTTTTCCTTTTCTTTTCACTCACCCAAATTTTGATTTTTGCGATTTTGGGTATCGCGAGTGATTAAAGGGAAAACCAAATTCTGGGAAGCTCGAACACTCATCATCGAAGATTAGTAAATGTTGTAGAAAATTTGAGATTTCATCCTCTCGTCTTCTCGAAATTTAATCATTTCAGCGCATCACTGATTCTGCTTTTCCTTGTCTTCTTCGTCTTCTCCTGTTCGGTAATCGCACTGTCTTTGCCATGTATTCTCTGATACTCCATGGAAGAAGGACTCTTGAGTTGCAAATATGGCGTAATTTGAGAGTTTCAGTGACCCTTTTGCAAAATGCATCTGCTTTTTCAAATCCGTTCTCCTCTGCTCGTGCTGCTCAAGATGGTCGAAAGGAGAAGACTTTTACTGTCTCTTACCTCGTTGATTCATTGGGTCTAGCTAGGAAACTCGCCGATTCCATCTGCAGGAAAGTCAGCTCCCAAAGCAAGGGAGATCCTGATTCTGTACTGACTCTTCTTAGGAGTCATGGGTTTACGGATCCTCAGATCTCCAGGATCATTACGGTTTATCCACGATTTCTCATGTTAAATGCTGAGGAATCTCTCGGTCCCAAGCTTCAGTTTCTGCAGTCCAGAGGAGCTACAAGCTCTGAGCTCACTGAGATTGTTTCTAAAGTCCCTAAGATCTTGGGTATTAAAAAGGACAAAGCTTTCAGCGTATACTATGATTTCATCAAAGAGATCATAGAAGCCGATAAGAGCTCCAAGTACGTAAAGTTGTGTCATTCTTCGCCAGAGGGTAGTGCGCAGGAGAACAAACTCAGAAATGTATTGGCGTTGAGAGAATTGGGTGTGCCTCAGAAGCTGTTATTCTCTATGCTCATCTCCAATTTCCAATCTGTATCTGGAAAAGAAAGATTTGAAGAATCCGTCAAGAAGGTTCTTGACATGGGCTTTGATCCGACAACCTTAAAGTTTGTCCATGCTCTACACGCTGTTTACCAAATGAGCGACAAAACGATTGAAGAAAAAGTAAACGTCTATAAAAGGTTAGGCTTTGATGTGGAAGATGTATGGGAAATGTTCAAGAAGTGCCCAAACATTCTGGCACTCTCGGAGCAAAAGATATTGAACTCCACTGAAACAATTCTAGGCCTAGGATTCTGCAGAGATGAGGTTGCCATGATGGTCAAGTGCTATCCTCAGTGCATTAGATATTCTGCAGAGTCGGTGAAGAAGAAGACTGAGTTTGTGGTGAAGAAGATGAACTGGCCACTAAAGGCTGTGGCTTTGTTCCCTCAGGTACTTGGATACAGCATGGAGAAGAGGATTATACCAAGGTGTAATGTAATCAAAGCTCTCATGCCTAAAGGATTGCTTGGAACTGAACTCCCTTCTATGCCGTGTGTCTTGGCATGTACCGATCAAGCTTTCTTAAACAAGTACTTGATGAAGCACAATGACGATGAGCTGGTGCGTGAATTGATGGCTATCTTCACCAAAGCTCCTGCTTCGTAAGGCTTGCCAAGATCTCTGAAAGCACATTAATTTAGAGTCTTAAACCTAAAACTGTACCAATGGTGAAACGTAATCAAGTTTTATCAAACAGGTATGTGGTGAAGCATAATGATAAGCTGGTGCTTGAGTTGATGGCGTGTCTCATAGCATAGAAGCCTTTTTTTTTTTTGGTTTTCCTGTTAGTTTTAGATTCCAGCAGTGGGAGGCAATATAAGAGATTTAGATTATGATTCAAAGCTTCTGCGATCTCAGTTTGATCCGGATGTGACCCATTTTTATATGCAATCTGACTTGGAGATATGGTAATAATGCAAAGGTACAAAGGTTCTTACATGGTTTTTGGTATTTAGAACCTTAATGAAAAAATCACGAGGACAAGGAGTTGGTGACTGAGTTGATGGCCATCTTCACCAAAGATCGTGTCTCATAGCATAGAAAGGCTTGTCAAAGTTAGTTTTTCTTTGTTCCTGTTAGTTTTAGATTCGGGCAATGGGAGGCAATATACGAGATTTACATCATGATTGGTCGTTGCCGGTCTTTTATTAATTTAAACTTTTATTACTCTGAACGTTGATCAGACACAGCTATTGTGAATCGTTCTAGAATGTCTTTCTGGCTAGTTTTGTTCATCATCTGAAAAAATTGTTTCAACTTGGGCCATAGTGATAGCTTTACTCTTTCATCAGACAAATAGGTTCGAAACCATAGTGGTCTTGATTCTTGCTGATGGTTTTGATAGCTTGGATGTTTCTTCATATGTACAAAACATAAAGAATCATTAGTTTCAGCTTTTGTTTGGGAAACGAAACTTTAAATCTCCTGCGAGAACCTTTTTTGGTGTTGATGGATTGTTAAAACGAGTTGTTTTAAAGTTGAAAGTGTCCAGTTCTTAGTCTTACTGCTACAATCATCTTTACACTGAGAACTGTATGTTCGAAAACTGAGTTTAGTAGTTCATTGGCGTTGAGATTTAGGATTTTGGGGGCTTAAGAGGTCTGTCTAGAGCGGTATGGTTAAATTGATGTATAATTGGAGAAACTTTGAGCTTGTTTCATCTTGGTTGCAATTAAGACATGTCCTCTTGGTTGCGTTTTAGGCTATGGCTTGTAAGAACATGATCTCAGTCGCATCGCATACTATTAACTCTACTTATCAACTAGATCACTGCAACATAACTGTAAGGACTCATCAAGAGTTAACTCACAAGTCACAAGTCAATGTTTTCATTTGATTGTGATCAGAAGAAGAACAAGAAAATTTTGGTCAGAGATTGAAGTGTGTGATACATCATACAAGTGGTTATGGAAATGGAAGTATTGGCATGAAAGGATAGGATCCTGTTTTAACAGGCAGCCAAGAACTTACACATTCCATATCTTCAAGTTTCTTTAACTACAGATTGACTTCATTCTTGTAATTGTTTCTCTTGGTAATATACATAAGTTGGTGACACATTCCATGTCTTCAAGTTTCTTTAACTGCAGATTGACTTCATTCTTGTATTTGTTTCTCTTGGTAATATACATAGGTTGGTGCTGAAAGAAAAAAAAAAACAACTTCTTGTGAAGGATCACATTCATGCATTTGTTGTAATTGTAGAGCTTGAGTTTTTTGAGTTTCCTCGGAAATAAAGAAGTATTTTGTTCATATCATTAACATACCATATGCCTCATGTAACTCTGCCCCTGTTTGTATATATCTAACGCTTTTTGTTCTTTTTTCTTCTTTATCGTGATTAGGATTTCTCATAAACCCTAATTTCTAGTTTCTTCTACCTCCCCAAATTTTGATTTTTGCCATTTTGGGTCTGCCGTGTGGGTAGATGGAGAACTCGAACACTCATCGATTTTCACGGGCACTCGATTTATGAGTCACCACTGGACATTTGTAAGTTTGGAGAGATTTTGAGAATTTATCCTGTCGTCTTCTTATGAGCTTAGAATCCTTTCAAGCATTTGGTAACCTCATTGCGTTCTCATGTATACTACTCTGATTCTCCGTGGAAGAAGGTATCTCGTGTTACAGAAATGGCGAAATGTAATCTCTGCTTTTTCCAATTCCTTCTCCTCTGCTAGTGCTGTTGCAGATGTGAGCCTTCCTCAAGATGGTCGAAAAGGGGAGACTTTCACTGTCTTTTACCTCGTTGATTGGTTGGGTTTCACTAGGAAACTCGCAGAATCGATCTCAAGGAAAGTCAGCTCCGAGGGCAAGGGAGATCTATAAGAGCATCAGCAATGCAGAGACCGAAGGCGTTTTTAGTGGAAACCAAATATTAAAAAAAATTGGGCTGCGTCTCTATTTGCCCGAAACGTTTCTTATTTCGGGACATCTGAAAACGTTTCTCGGGACACGTGGTCTTTGATCATTGGTTCACGTAATTGGAGGAAAAACAAAAATTGGGGCTTCCATTTCATTTTCCCCGAGAACATCTTTCTTCCATTTTCCTTTCCTTTCCGACGATTACGAGAGATCGATCGAGTTTCCGACGAATCGCGACATCTTGATCTCGTCCTCTCCGAAATCGGCGACAAGAAAGCCTTCAGATAAGTTCAACGAACCCTAAAACCCCTCTCTGCTCGATTCTTTGTTTTTTTAGTCGATTCTCTGATTTGTTCTTTGGTCGATTCTCTGGTTTTTCTCAATTGGATCTTCCTTTGTCTTCAATTTTATCTGCTCGATCAGAGATCCCATGATTTGTCTGATCAAAATATTATTTTTTTGTGTGTGTGATTAGCTTTGGTCATCGATCGTTTATCATCTTTTGTGTCAATGTTGCTGTTTTGCAAATTCTATCACTCGTTTTAATAGCTGTGGCAGGTTTGAGGAATGAAATTGGTTTGATCTCATGCTTTTGGCTAATATCGGAGATTGAATTTGAATGGTTTAATCATCAGATTTGAAATTGTTGTTGTTGCTTGTGAAGTGAATTGTTCTTATTGCTGCTCTGACCAAGTGTGTCTTTTTCTTAATGGCTAATCTCTAGGGTTGTTGTTCTAATAATGGCTGAGGCAACGCCTGCTTTGAGGAAGCCTGTGTTCACCAAGGTTAATGAGCTCATGGCTTCACAGATTCTCTTGGTCCCAAGCTTCGGTTTCTTCATTCCAGAGGAGCTTCAAGCTCTGCTCTCGCTGAGATCATTTCCAAAGTTCCGAAAATCTTAGGAAAGAAAGGGGATAAAACTCTCAGCTTATACTATGATTTCTTCAAAGATAATATTGAAGCTGATAGAAGCTCAGAGTTTGAAATCGAAAAGTCATGTCTTTATTGGCCAGAGGGTAACAACAATAAGCAGTAGAACAAATTTCGAAATGTATTGGTTTTGAGAGGATTAGGCATGCCTCAGAAGCTGCTGTTGCCTTTGCTCATCTCCGATTACCAACCTGTCTATGGCAAAGAAAAATTTGAATCAACAAGAAGCTTGTTGCTGAGTTGATGGCTATCTTCACTTAGAGATTGTTTTTCTTTTTTGTTTTTTGTGAGTTTAATAATCATCGTTGTTGATGTGTGAACTTGCGATTCTTGGTACAAGCACGAGTTAAGTATATTTTGCTTGGATATTTTTCATTAAGTTTGTTTCCAAAATTTTTTTTTTAAAAAAAACTTATATAAGTCTCTCCATTGTACAGTCCAAAACAAGAAGTTTCTAAAACCAGTTTTTAATTTCACTTTTTGCTAAAAAACTATTAAAAAAATAGATAGGAGACTCATATAGGTCTCTGCATTGAGGATGCTCTAAGGATAACAACAATTTTGTATGATTGATTCCGGTTTCCTTTTGCTGGTTCAATCTTAGATTAATTGTAAATAGGTTTAGTCCGGTTTAGTTTATCTCAAATGTATATAAGTGTAAACGGTCACATTTTGTGATGAATTAATCAGATAAAATTCTCTAACAAACTTTTCTTATCTTCTTCTCTGATCGCTAATATGGTATCAGAGCCATCAAAGCTCTAATTTCTACTTCGTTTCACATAATTTGAGCTCGATTTCTGGATTCCGCAGGATAATCTGAAGCTAAGATGGTATCGTTGAAGAATCTCCCTCGAAGATCTACTCGATCCAAAGCTGCATCAAGTTCTGCTTCAAAATCGACTCATCGCTCAACAAAATCTAGTTCCGATGTTGCAGATCAGTCTCCGATTCTTCCTCCAGTAGCTGTTGCTCAAGATTCTGGAGCTTCGCGAGTCATTGCAATGCCGGATTCTCTAGATCCAAGTCAATCTCCGTTCTATATGCATAGTGCAGATCATCCAGGTTTGCAAATCATCTCTCTCAAACTCGATGGAACAAACTATGATGATTGGAATGCAGCTATGTGTATCGCTCTAGACGCTAAGAACAAAATTGGATTTGTTAATGGATCATTACCTCGTCCTCTCGAATCGGATTCTAGTTTTCGTCTATGGTCTAGATGCAACAGTATGGTTAAATCGTGGTTATTGAACTCGGTCTCGTCTCAGATCTATCGTAGTGTTCTAAGGATGAATGATGCTACTGATATATGGCGTGACTTACACAGTCGCTTTCATATGACGAACCTTCCTCGCACGTTTAACCTTACTCAGGAGATACAGGATCTTCGACAAGGTTCTCTCTTACTTTCTGATTACTATACCACTCTCAAAACCTTGTGGAGTAGTTTGGAAAGCACAGAGGAACCTGATGAACCATGTACTTGTGGTAAAACTCAACGTCTGCAATTGAAAGCAGAGAGAGCTAAGATAGTGAAGTTTTTGGCTGGTTTGAACGATTCTTATGCAATCATTCGACGTCAGATCATCATGAAGAAGGCTCTCCCTAGTCTCGCAGAGGTGTACAACATTCTCAATCAGGATGATAGTCAGCGTGGCTTCTCAAATGTTGTTCCTCCTGCGGCATTTCAGGTTTCTGAGAATATTCCTTCTTCTGGTACAGATTCTGAAATCATATGCTATGTTCAATCTGGTCCAAACAAAGGTCGCCCTATTTGTTATTTTTGCAACAAAGTTGGACATATTGTTGAGAGATGCTACAAGAAGCATGGTTTTCCTCCAGGGTATACACCAAAAGGGAAATCATCTGGTCAATCTTCCAAGCCTCCTCCGGTTGCTGCTCAAATGCAAATGGCTTCTTCTTCTGAAGTTAAGTCGCCGAATTTGGAAGGATTGATTGGAAATCTCAGCAAAGATCAGATTCAGCAGTTCATAGCATTGTTCAGTTCTCAGTTACAACCACAGCAAATCTTGCAATCCTCGGACACTAATACTTCACAGACGACAGTTGCTCCTTCTGGTATTGCTTTCTCCCCATCTACTTTCAGTTTTGTGGGCATATTGACGATTTCACACCAAAGCCTTTGCAATGGTTCTTGGGTGATCGACTCCGGAGCAACACATCATGTGTCATATAATCGGAAATCATTTGTTTCCATTGACACCTCTGTTGTAAGCTTTGTGAATTTGCCAACAGGATCAACTGTTCGTATTAGTGGTGTAGGATCTGTTCAAATAAATAAACATATTCTCTTGGGAAATGTTTTGTTTATTCCTGAATTTTGTCTGAACCTTCTCAGTATAAGCTCCTTGACAACTGATATAGGCTCAAGAGTTTGTTTTGACAGTACCTCTTGTGAAATTCAGGATCATTCCAGGGCTGTGACGATTGGACAGGGTAAACGAGTTGCAAACCTCTGTTCTTGACACTATATCATCTCCAATTTCCGTGAATGCAGTGGTGGATATAGGCAAGTGGCATAAAAGGCTTGGACATCCATCATACTCCAGATTAGACGTTATCTCAGAAGCTTTGGGAACGACTAGACACAAGAATAAGGATTCTGCATTTTGTCATGTTTGTCACCTGGCTAAGCAGAAGAAACTCTCTTTTCCTTCTCCGAACAATATCTGTAATTCAACCTTTGAGTTATTATACATTGATGTTTGGGGACCATTTTCGGTTGAGACTATTGATGGATATCGATATTTTTTAACCATTGTTGATGATCACTCACGTGCAACTTGGATATACCTGCTTAAGACTAAATCTGAGGTTCTTACAGTGTTTCCAGCATTCATCACACAGGTTGAAAACCAGTATAACACAAAGATCAAAGCCGTAAGATCCGATAATGCACCAGAATTTAGTTTCACTGCTTTATATCAACAAAAGGGTATTAAAAGCTTTCACTCATGTCCTGAAACACCCGAACAAAACTCAGTTGTAGAGAGAAAACATCAACACATGCATCTTGAATGTGTCAAGAGCTCTCCTGTTTCAGTCTGGTGTTCCATTGCAATTCTGGGGTGATTGCGTTTTAACTGCAGTATTCCTCATTAACAGGACTCCATCTCCTTTGCTGAACAACAAGTCTCCATATGAATTGTTGAATGGCAAAGCTCCTGTCTATGATCTGATCAGAGTCTTCGGTTGTCTGTGTTATGGTTCTACATCACCAAAACAAAGACATAAGTTTCAACCAAGATCTCGAGCTTGTTTGTTCCTAGGCTATCCAGCTGGGTACAAAGGGTACAAACTATTGGATTTGGAAAGTAACAAGGTGTTCATTTCGCGTCATGTTCGCTTTCATGAAGACATATTTCCGATGGTAAAGGATTCGAATACAAAGGATATATCGAATTTTTTCACACCAGAATCTTTGCCTTCAGGTATCACCAATTCTTCTTCCAATCCTTCTTCTTCTCATCTCTCAGAAATTTCTACTCCTCCCTTATTACCAACTCCCTCTACTCGTATTCGTAAACCTCCAGCTCACTTACAAGACTATCATTGCAATTCTCTGCAATCTAGTCTAGAATATCCTATATCCGATTTTGTTTCTTATTCCAAAGTCACTCCTACTCACCTCTCCTATATTAATAATATCACTAAAATCCCTGTACCTAATTCCTACTCTGAGGCAAAGAGTTCTAAAGAATGGTGTGGAGCAGTGGATAAGGAATTTGGTGCCATGGAATCAACTGATACATGGGAGGTCACATCTCTGCCTCCGGGTAAGAAACCAGTTGGATGTAAATGGGTGTTCACTGTGAAGTTTCATGCTGATGGTAGTCTGGAAAGGTATAAAGCACGCCTGGTTGCTAAAGGTTATACGCAGAAAGAGGGTTTGGACTACAAGGAGACGTTTTCTCCTGTTGCAAAGCTAACAACTGTCAAGCTTTTATGAAAGTTTCAGCATCAAAACAATGGTTTTTTGTCTCAGTTGGATGTTTCTAATGCATTCCTTAACGGCGACTTGGATGAAGAGGTGTTCATGAGATTAGCTGAGGGATATGCAGAGAGACAGGGGGACTCTTTACCTAAGCATGCTGTCTTACGGTTAAAAAAGTCCATTTATGGTTTGAAACAGGCATCCCGACAGTGGTAGAAGAAATTTTCTGAAGCTTTACTGGATTTGGGATTTACTAAAGGTGATGGTGATCATACCTTGTTTGTGAAAGGCTGTGATCAACACAACTTTCTTGCAGTATTGGTTTATGTCGATGATATAGTTATTGCCAGTACTGATGAGTCTCTTTCAAAGAAGTTGATTGAAGCTTTGAAACGATGCTTCAAATTGAGGGATTTGGGAACTCTAAAGTACTTCTTAGGCCTGGAAGTAGCTAGAATTTCTGCTGGTATTTCTTTGTGCCAATGGAAATATGCTTTGGAGATTCTTACGTCTACAGGAATGCTTGGATGTAAACCTTCATCTACTCCTATGGTTCCAAATCTTTAGATGTCCAAAAGTGATGGTGATTTACTTCAAGACCGAGAAATGTATCGAAGCCTTGTGGGACGTTTGATGTATTTGACAATAACAAGACCTGATATCACATTTGCCGTCAACAAGTTATGTCAATACTCTTCCGCTCCACGTTCTACTCATCTCAAAGCTGCGTACAAAGTTCTGCAGTATATCAAAGGCACTGTTGGTTTGGGTCTCTTTTACTCTGCAGATCCGGATATCACATTAAAAGGATTTGCAGATTCTGACTGGGCGGCTTGTCCTGATAGTCGTCGTTCCACAACTGGTATGTGTATGTTTCTTGGATCATCTTTGATCTCTTGGAAGTCCAAGAAACAGGACACTGTCTCTTGTTCGACTGCAGAAGCCGAATATAGGGCCTTATCTTTAGCTTCTCAGGAAATGGTTTGGCTTTTGAAGTTACTCAAGGACCTGCGTGTAACACCTGAGAACACACCTATCCTCTTTTCTGATAGTACTGCAGCTATCTCCATTGCCACCAATCCTGTTTTCCATGAACGCACCAAACACATTGAAACAGATTGTCACTCGGTTAGAGAACGCTTGGACAAAGGGATTCTCAAATCTTTACATGTTCCAACCGAAGATCAAGTTGCAGATATTATGACTAAACCTCTCTTCCCTCACCAGTTTGAATATTTGAAGTCCAAGATGAGTCTTCAGAACATCTTCCAGAGCTCATCTTGAGAGGGACTAAAAGGATAACAACAATTTTGTATGATTGATTCCGGTTTCCTTTTGCTGGTTCAATCTTAGATTAATTGTAAATAGGTTTAGTCCGGTTTAGTTTATCTCAAATGTATATAAGTGTAAACGGTCACATTTCGTGATGAATTAATCAGAGAAAATTCTCTAACAAACTTTTCTTATCTTCTTCTTCTCTGATCGCTAATAAGATCCTGATTCTGTTCTGAAACTTCTTAAAATTAATGGTTTCACAGATTCTCAGATCTCCACCATCATTACGGTTTATCCACTATTGCTTATAGCAGATGCTGAGGAGTCTCTCGGTCCCAAGCTTCAGTTTCTCCAGTCCAGAGGAGCCTCAAGCTCTGAGATCACTGAGATTGTTTCTAAAGTCCCAAAGATCTTGGGTATCAAAAAGGACAAAGCTTTCAGCAGATACTATGATTTCGTCAAAGGGGTTATAGAAGCCGATAAGAGCTCCAAGTTCAAAAAGTTATGATTTTCTTTGCCACCTGGTAGTGCGCAAGAGAATAAACTCCAAAATGTTTTGGTTTTGAGAGAACTTGGTGTGCCTCAGAAGCTGTTATTCTCTATGCTCATCTCCGATAACCGTATCTGCTCTGGAAAAGAAAGATTTGAAGAATCTGTCAAGAAGGTCGTTGACATGGGCTTTGATCCGACAACCTCAACCTTTGTCGACGCTCTACGCGCTTTTTACAATATGAGCGACAAAACGATGGAAGCAAAAGTCAACGTCTATAAAAGGTTAGGCTTTGGTGTGGAAGACGTATGGGAAATGTTCAAGATGTTTCCAAGGATTCTGGCACTCTCAGAGAAGAATATATTAAACTCACTTGAAACATTTCTAGGCCTAGGATTCAGCAGAGATGAGTTTGTGATGATGGTCAAGCGCTTTCCTATGTGCATTGGATTATCCACAGTGACGCTGAAGAAGAAGAAGACTGAGTTTCTTGTGAAGAAAATGAATTGGCCACTAATGGCCTTGGTTTCAAACCCTCGTGTACTTAGATTTAGCATGGAGAAGGGGATTGTACCAAGATGTAACGTAATCAAAGCTCTCATTTCCAAAGGATTGATGGGAAGTGAGCTCCCTTCAGTGTCGTATGTCTTGGTATGTACAGATAATGTGTTCTAAGAAAGGTATGTGATGAAGCATAGATTAGAAGTTTGTCAAGGTTTTTTTTTTATTCTGTAAGTTTTTAGATTTGTTGATGAAATTTTTGACGCCAAGATTGGAAAGCAAAATAAGGACTTTTATCTATAAATCTCTGAAACCCAATTTCTACTTTTGCAATCTGAACTTGACTTGGAAAATAAGAAATAAGTATTAATTTTGAATTCACAGGCTAGTGAAATCGGTTAGTTAGGCTGGTAACTTAGAGATATGTGATGCTTTGGTTAGGCAGGTAACTTACCATATACTGATCAATGCTAAATGTTCTTTGGTTGATATGATAAAGCAAAGAACTTTTGAGAGATTCTTCAGTAAAAATTGCATTTGTAGCCGAGAAGTGTTTTAGATTATTAGCTCTATATTGGAATATTGATATATAAATATTGCATATACCAGGAAAATGAGCTTGTAATGATAAACAAAATATTTGACTCCCGTTACGAGCACTTTATATAAAGAGTTCTTATATAAATCAATGATAACATATTAAACCATATTACTGTACGAAGCTGATTTGTAAATTTACCGGTTTTTCAAAAAAAACTATACACTTGAAAAGAACAAAGTCTCTTAGACTAAATTCTATAGATAATTGTTTGTGAACTGAAAGTCTTGAAGAAACGGATAACTTCAATAAGGTCGAAAACCATTTGGCTAAGAAAAATTGATTCTTGATTTGCGTGGAAAGAACAACATCACAACTACAAAAAAGGAATAAAATTCATCACGTTTTCACGTTATGAATCTAGTAATCAAAAGTAGAAGGACATCTTCTGGAATCAAAGTTTCATATTTATAGGGGACATTTTTTACAGGGTTGATTTTTGTATAACCAACAACTTTAGAAGAACTCTTGAGAAGATAAAATAAAGAGAGACAAGGAGCAACCATGGATTCCGTTGGTGGATTTCGTCGAGAGGAAATAGATGGTAAACAATTTCTGGTATACCATCTAATGCCACAAACACAAAACCTAAGTTTCTCAAGTGAAACAACTAGCCATGATCAGCCTCTTCAACCTCTTTTCTTATGCCCTCATGCACGACAGACAAACGACTATCTTAGACAGAATTCAAACCATTTTCCGCTCAATTCTTCCCCCAAGTACAACATCTCTGCACCAAGATTTGGTCATCATCCTGTACTTCCTTTGTATTGGTGCAACAATAAAGATTTCGATAGCGATGGTGGGTGTGAAGCATGCAATGTCTCAAATTTTGGTACAAACTATTATTTCTGTGAATACCATCAAGTCAAATTCCACAAAGAATGCGTCGAGTCTTCACTTAAAATCAAACATCCTTATCATCCCGAACATTTTCTACAACTTTATTGTGATCGTCGTGACAGAAAAAATAATGAGTATTTATGTTGTGGAGAAACAACGAGATATTTGGTATATTATTGTACCATTTGTCAGGTTTGCATACATCCGATCTGCACGATAAAACCAATACCCTTTGTTATAGACCAACCAAAAAGGCATGACCATTCCCTAACCTTTTTCCCTAGACATACCTCCTTAGTTTGCAATGTTTGTGGATTGTTGAGAAAAAGTTCTCCTACATACGTGTGTCTCATATGCAACTTTGTAGCTCATAAAGATTGTATGTATTCCCCACACATTATCAAGATATCACGTCACCACCATCGTATCTCCTACATTTCTTCTCTTCAATCAAGAGAGTGGTCTTGTGGAGTTTGTCGCCAAAGGGTTAACTGCGATTATGGTGCATATACTTGTGACAAATGTAGTGACTATGTTGTTCATTCAAGATGTGCTCTTGGAAAAAATGTGTGGGATGGAAAAGAACTCGAAGGTGTACCAGAAGAAGATGATATAACACAAGATGCTAAGCCATTCGATATTATATCTGAAGGAGTAATACTTTATTTTCTTCATGAACATCATCTCCGGTTCGAGGTCAACATACTTTACGATGAAAACAAGCTTTGTCAAGCGTGTGTCCTTCCAATCTATGAAGGTAACTTATATTCTTGTATTGAGTGTGAGTTCATCCTCCATGAATTACATCCTCGTAGAATCCAACATGGATTACATCCTCATCCGCTTACATTGAAGAGTGTTAGTAGATATAGGTTGGGTAGTTTCTTCTGCTGGGTTTGTTATCGTATTTGTGGTGGGTTTGTCTATGGTTGTTGCATAGGAGATTGCAAATTCAACTTAGATGTGAGGCGTGCTTTAATCTCAGAGCCGTTTGATTTCAAAGCTCATGAACATCCCTTGTTCCTAACTTTAGATCCAATAAATAAACCCATATGTGAGGTATGCAAAATAGAATGTCAGAAACAAATAAACTGCATCAAATGCAATTTTATTGTATGTTTCAAGTGCGCAACTTTACCATATAAAGCAAGGTATAAGCATGACAAACACTTTCTCACAGTTTTATTTGGTAAAGAAATAAATGAGAATGATTGTTGCGAGATATGTGAATGCGATTTAAACGATACAGTTAGAACAATATTCTATTGGTGTAAGGAGTGTTGCACCATTTTTCATATTAATTGTTTATTTGGTGAATTTCCATATATGAAGCCTGGTCAATCTTACAGACAAAGTGGGAAGGAGTTCCAGATTCTTGGCAAAAGCAAGATTTCTCGACCAATTTGCGATTATTGCAAAAACCGTTGTCAAGACAAAGTATTTAAGGGAGACTATGGCATACTATGTTCTAGAAAATGTTTGATCAGCTCGGGTTGACCTTGATAAAAAAAAAATATATATACAGCTGGAAGCAATGGGATCTGAGAGAGCATTGGTGTTGGAAGTGTTCTTCGCATGTAACAAGAACGAAGAGTTGGCTGCGACTATCTTCTTGATCACATGCATGAGTTTGAGGAATAGCTACTTCAGTAAAGTTACCTTGTTCATCTTTCTTCTTTCTATCTCTTATCATTGGTCCATATGTAGGGCCTTGCCTATGAGAATAGAAAAGAAACATAGCCCCCATTTTTTTAATAAAATTTGAAGGGTCCATTTGATTGATTCATTGCTAAATTTTTTAATACTGTAGTAAAACTTGAGTTTTGTTTACATGAGCAACAAATTGAAAAGTTAACTAAAGTTGAAAAAATGAAAAACCAAAACAATTTCACTTGTAATAGTAAACAGTGACATTTTCTAATGCAAGTTTACCTATTTATCTCATGGAAACATATATATTTCTTCTACGAATTAAGGAATGTGAGACGACTGATGTGTAACTTTGTATCTTTTACTGTTTTTGAAGTTGATTTGCACAAAAAAATATTTGAAATACTAAGGATGGAAAGACGCTTTTGAAGGAAATGGTGAGTCTGAAAAAAAAAAAAAAAAAAAAAATGCTAGATCTTGTTGGTTGATTAATAAAGTTAGCTTAATAGTATCACTTCTTACTTGTCAAGTGATACTATTAAAATGATGACATACACAAATCCTTAGAAATAGTTTGATAATGGCTAACAGTTGTCACTTACTAATCTTTGCAGCAAATTTCAAAATCCCACAGCCATCATGATTGCAAGGACAGCTGTTGCACAGGATGACATAAGTGGTGATGGTACTACTTCCACTGTCATCTTCATTGGTGAGCTCATATTCTGCGGAGTCGGTGAAGAAGAAGACTGAGTTTGTGGTGAAGATGATGAACTGGCCACTAAAGGCTGTGGCTTTGTTTCCTCAGGTACTTTGGATACAGCATGGAGAAGAGGATTATCTTTTATTCACGTCTTTTGATTTTATTTAATGAATGAAAACAGAGAATTCCTTCTTCTTCAAAAAAAAAGAAAACAGAGAATACCACTAAAGTAAGATGCTCAACCACAAGCACATTACTTTTTACTTTTACGAGGAATTATACAATAACAAGACAACTTCATGCACCTACCATATATTTAAGGGGATATGCAAATAATCCTATCAATTTTCTCCACCGGCCAAACAACTCTCTAGCCGAAAATTTGAAGAAAAAAAAATGCATCTCATGATTTGTGTTCCATGCAGAGAATCATGTAAAATTGAGATTCATAACTAGTTTGCAAGTGAATGTAATGCTGTGGTTGGAATTGTCATTGTTTAGGCTTGAATGCAAAATGCAATGGAAAGAATTTATTTTAAAAAAGTTTTGGATGAATAAATAAATAAATTAAAGGGTTGTAAAGAGTTTTGAAGGCCCATTTAAAGGTCTATGCAAATAAATAAATTTGTATTCAGTATCTAGCAAATAAATCCGCTGTAGCACAAAGGTTAATTTCAAGTCATTGAATATCCGGATTCGAAGCCCAATTTTTCATAAACCCTAGTTTCCTTTTTTGTTAAATCCTTTTCTCCTTACCCAAAATTGTGGTTTTGACGAATTTGGGTTTTGCGAGAGAAGAAATGGAGAGCCGAATTCTGGAAAACTGGAACATTCATCGATCTTAACTCGGCACATTAGTAAGTTGGGAGAAAGTTTGAGACTTTATCATGTCGTAATCTCGAATTTGACCCGGTTCTTTCTCTTAATCGCATTTCCTCTAATGTATTCTTCGATACTCTATGGAAGAAGGTCTCTCGTGTTACAGAAATGGCCTAATCTGAGAGGTTCAGTGAAAAATGTATTCTCTGCTTTTCCCAGTTCCTTCTTCTCCGCTAGTGCTGCTGATCTAAGCGCTCCTCAAGATGGTCGAAAAGGGAGCAACTTTACAGTCTCTTACCTCGTTGAGTCACTGGGGTTCACTACGAAACTCGCAGAATCGATCTCGAGGAAAGTCTGGTCCGAGGGAAAGGGTAATCCTGATTCTGTTTTGAGCCTTCTTAGGAGTCATGGGTTCACAGGTCCTCAAATCTCCAGCATCGTTAGCGCTTTCCCAGGATTGCTCATATTAGATGCTGAGAAATGTATTGGTCCCAAGCTTCAGTTTCTTCAGTCCAGAGGAGCTTCAAGCTCTGAGCTCACTGAGATTTTTTCTAAAGTTCCAAAGATCTTGGGTATCAAAAAAGACAAAGCTTTCAGCGTATACTATGATTTCATCAAAGAGGTCATAGAAGCCGATAAGAGCTCCAAGTACGTAAAGTTGTGTCATTCTTCGCCAGAGGGTAGTCAGCAGGAGAACAAACTCAGAAATGTATTGGCGTTGAGGGAATTGGGTGTGCCTCAGAAGCTGTTATTCTCTATGCTCATCTCTAATTTCGGTTCTGTAACTGGAAAAGAAAGATTTGAAGAATCCGTCAAGAAGGTTGTTGACATGGGCATTGATCCGACAACCTTAAAGTTTGTCGATGCTCTACACGCTGTTTACCAAATGAGCGACAAAACGATTGAAGAAAAGGTAAACGTCTATAAAAGTTTTGGCTTTGATGTCGAAGACGTATGGGCAATGTTTAAGAAGTGGCCGAAGTTTCTGATTTACTCGGAGCAAAAGATAGTGGACTCCATTGAAACATTACTAGGCCTTGGGTTCACCAGAGATGAGTCTGCTATGATGTGCAAGCGCTTTCCTCAGTTACTTGGATTATCTGCTGAGTCGGTGGAGAAGAAGACTGAGTTTCTTGTGAAGAAGATGAATTGGCCACTAAAGGCTCTGGTTTTGTTTCCTCCGGTATTTGGATACAGCATGGAGAAGAGGATTGTCCCAAGGTGTAACGTAATCAAAGCTCTCTTGTCCAAAGGATTGCTTGGAAGTGAACTCCCTTCTATGCCGTGTGTCTTGGCATGTACCGATCATGCTTTCTTAAACAAGTACGTGATGAAGCACAATGAAAATGAGCTGGTGCGTGAGTTGATGGCCATCTTCACCCAAAGATCCTGCTTCATAGATCATAAGGCTTGCCAATATCTATGAATTCAAAGCTCCCTTATCTAAGTCTGTACCAAGGTGTAACGTAATCATCAAAGCTCTCTTATCAAACAGGTGTGTGGTGAAGCATGATGATCAGCTGGTGCTTGAGTTGATGGCTATCTTCATCGAACATCGTGTCTCATAGCATAGTAGGCTTGTCAAAGTTGGTATTTTTTTCCCTTTTAGTTTTAGATTCCGGCAGTGGAGGCAATATCAGAGATTTAGATTATGATTCTAAGCTTTTGTGATCTCAGTTTGATCTCCGGATGTGACCGTTTTTTATTTGCAAACTGACTAGGAAAATGACTTGAAGTTGTAACTTTGAATCTTTCTGAGGTAGTTACGTAAAAATGTGGAGATATGGTAATAATGCAAAGTAACAGAGGTTCTTACATGGTTTTTGAATTTAAGGCCTTTAATGAAAAACACTCTCTAAATCTTGATTGATTAGATTGGATGTTTCTTCATATGTACAAAACATGGAGAATCATTATGTTCAGATTTTGTTTGGGAAAAGCAGGGGCTTCTTGTATGTTTCATTGCTCTGTTGGTCCCCAAAAAGTTGACACTTTTGTTTTTGTATGAAGAAGTTTTGTTTGGAATAAAAATGTATTGTTTGGGGACGGCTAATTTGAATACATAAAATTACCTATATCAAAACATCGAAAAACCTCATGCGAGAACCTCTCTTGGTGTTGATGGATTGTAAGAAACGAGTTGTTTTCAATTTTCTTAGTCTTACTGCTAGAGTCATCTTTAGATTGAAAACAGTATGTTCAAATACTGAGTTTAGTACATCGGCATTGATTTAGAATTTTGGGGCTTAAGACGTCTGTTTTTATACATTTACACCTAAACGTAAAATGCTCGTTCAGCCACAAAGCACATATTGCTCATAATCCCTAGTTTCCGTTTTTTTTTCTTAGGGTTTATCCGTTTTTTGTTCTCCTCAGACCTCAGTCCTCACCCAAATTGTGACATTTGCGATTTTGGGTTTCGCGAGAGTCATCGATCTTTTCCTCGGAACATTAGTAAGTTCAGAGAAAGTTTGAAACTTTATCATGTCGTTTTCTCGAATTTGATCCGGGTTAGATCACCTGAATCGTATCGACGCTGCTGCTTGTGTTTTTGAGTTTTTATTTCTCTTAATCGCATTTCATTCTTCGATGATACTCCATGGAAGAAGGTCTCTCGACTTACAGAAATGGCGTCATTTGAGAGGTTCGTTGCAAAATGTATCCTCTGCTTTTTCCAATCCGTTCTCCTCTGGTAGTGTTGCAGAAACTGTGAGACCTAGAGATGATCGAAAAGAGAAGACTTTCACTGTCTCCTACCTCGTTGAGTCACTGGGCAAGGGTAATCCGGGTTCTGTTTTGAGTCTTCTTAAAAGTTATGGTTTCACGGAATCTCAAATCTCCAGCATCGTTAGTAGTTATCCACGGTTGCTTATGTTAGATGCTGAGAAATCCCTCTGTCCCAAGCTTCAGTTTTTGCAGTTTTAACCTCTGAGCTTACTGAGATTGTTTCTAAAGTCCCTAAGATCTTGGGTATCAAAAAGGAGAAAGCTTTCTGCGTATACTATGATTTCATCAAAGAGATTGTAGAAGCGGATAATTCCAAGTTCAAAAAGTTATCTCATTCTTTGCCACAGGGTAGTAAGCAGGAGAATAAGCTTCGAAATATATTGGCTTTGAGGGAATTGGGCATGCCTCAGAAGCTGCTGTTCTCTATGCTCATCTCCTATCACCATGCTTGCTGTGGGAAAGATAGATTTGAAGAATCCCTCAAGAAGATTGTTGACATGGGCTTTGATCCGAGTTTGTCGAGGCACTGAACGCTGTTTACCAAATGAGCGATGAAGCAATAGAAGAAAAAGTAAACGTCTATAAAAGGTTAGGCTTTGATGTGGAAGATGTCTGGGCAATGTTCAAGAAATGGCCAAACATTCTGTCATACTCGGAGCAAAAGATACTGAACTCGGTTGAAACATTTCTAGGCCTAGGATTCAGCAGAGATGAGTCTGCTTTGATTGTGAAGCGCTTTCCTCAGTTGCTTGGATTATCTGCAGAGACGGTGAAGAAGAAGACTGAATTTCTTGTGAAGAAGATGAATTGGCCACTAGAGGTTGTGGTGGCAAACCCTCAGGTAATTGCATACAACTTTGAGAAGAGGACTGCTCCAAGGTGTAACGTAGTCAAAACTCTCATGTCTAAAGGATTCTTGGGAAGTGAGCTCCCTCCATTGTCGTCTGTGTTGTCAATCACCGATGAAGCCTTCTTAAAGAAGGATGTGAAGAAATATGATGACAAAAAGCTGGTTCCTGAGCTTATGGCTATCTTCACCAGCGGTCTTGTTTCATAGATCACAAGGCTTGTCTAGGATTTTGCTTTTCTTTATCAATATCTGCGCTCGAACACAGTATTTTTTGTAAGAACACAAGTATGTTCTTCTCCACATACTTGTATCCTTGCGATTTTGTTGAGTTCCGCAAGTGAATGAAATTTGAGTTCCCTAAATTTGGAGCATCTAGCTATGACCTCACTGAGTTTCTTTCTAAAGTTTCGGAAATCTTTGGAAAGAAAAGGGACAAATCTATCTGCCTCCATTATGGTTTTGTCAAAGACATCATAGAAGACCTTCTGTTTGCAAAAGACCCTGTGTGTATATTGTATAATGAAGAGAGCACACAAGGCAAAGGCAAAGCCTTTTTAATTTGGATCACATTCATACATTTTGTAACTGGCTGTTTCAGCATTGGTGAGATGTTCGTCTAATTGAGTAGAGTTTGATTTTTGAGTTCCCTACGGAAATAAATAAGGTTTTGTTCATATCATTATCTTTTATTCACGTCTTTTGATTTTATTTAATGAATGAAAACAGAGAATTCCTTCTTCAAAAAAAAAGAAAACAGAGAATTCCACTAAAGTAAGATGCTCAACCACAAGCACATTACTTTTTACTTTTACGAGGAATTATACACTTCATGCACTTACCATATATTTTAGGGGATATGCAAATAATTCTATCAATTTTCTCCACCGGCCAAACAACTCTCTAGCCGCAAAATTTGAAGAAAAAAAAATGCATCTCATGATTTGTGTTCCACGCAGAGAATCATGTAAAATTGAGATTCATAACTAGTCTGCAAGTGAATGTAATGCTGTGGTTGGAATTTGTCATTGTTTAGGCTTGAATGCAAAATGCAATGGAAAGAATTTATTTTGTGAATGTAATGCTGTGGTTGTAATTTGTCATTGTTTAGGCTTGAATGCAAAATGCAATGGAAAGAATTTATTTTAAAAAAGTTTTGGATGAAGAAATAAAGAAATTAAGGGAAATTTGGTGTCGTAGCGTAACAACAAGAGCTAATTAGGTGTCGATGAACTAATTTTTTTATGGGGTGGAAAGTACCCAAAACCCCCTCAGTTACATTCTACTCCAGCATATCTTTATAACAATAACGTATACGTGTTTTATGTCTGACATCTTTCTCTTTTATCAGCTTTAATTCAAAATTTTCCATCGGGTCTTTATAGTCAAACTTCGGTCCTTGAAATTCAGTCTGAATTTCAAAACACTACTACCTCACTCAAATCCTCTCTTCTATAATTTCTGTGGTTCTCCATTTTACTTCGCTGACTCCGACATGATAAACCGGAGTTTGATACGGCGAGTCACTTACTTCTCTGAAACTCCGGCAACGATGGACCGATCTTGCGAACCACCGTCTTTTTTTTCCGCAGCGAAGCTTGAAAGGTAAACTGTTAAGCTCTGTTTTGGTGTCGTCTGTTGAATGTTATATGACTTTACTCGCAGATACCGGTATATGTCGTCGTTAATTTCCAGGAGCTAGATTTCTTAATTTTTCGAAGTTAGATCTGTCGTTATTCTTCATATTTTTGGGTTCATAAACGTTTGGTTCCGTAGGCCACTTGTCCTGATTCACAGTTTTTGTTTTTTTTTTTTCAAACGCTTTCCACTACCATTCTCATCCGTCATCCAGATCTGCGTTTTCAGATCTGAATAATTAACCACTAAGTATGTCATTTACATTTTAAGTAGTAAATAAGTGTTTACTGGTGACCATATACTGAGTAGCTTACTATTCTTGCTAGTTATAGGTAACCATATACTGGGTAGCTTAATATTCCTTGCTTTTGTTTTTGAAGGTCTGCGTTGTCCCAAGTACATCCCGATCTGGTACCACTGACAAATGATATTCTTCCTCAGATTCGCGATGCAGCCGTTGATATTTTTAAAAGAGTTGGTAGGAGTTCTACTAAAGACGCTTGCTCTTTTGCTTGTTCATGCAAATTCCTTAGCCAAACAATCAACGAACCATCTGTGATGAGGTTTCTCAACCTTACAGCTTTCGTGAGAAGGCCCAGTTTAGTTCAGAGCTACCCTTCATTCTTTGAGGCGGCGGTGACATCAGGTAATCCACTTGGTATGTATATCCACGGTATGAGCAGAATCACTATGGCTAATGATATCGAAGGTTCTCTAAGGTTTTTCAACCAAGCGTCTAAAGCTGGAGTTCAAACGGCGACCTTAATGATGGCCATATGTGTAACCGCATTAGGTCACTACCCCATAGGCATAGAAATTTTAGACCGTGTTTTTGGTTGGAGAGCAACAATTGAGCATATGACTCAGATTGGTGAGGAAGTTATGGCTTTGATCGACAAAATGGTGGTGCCTGATGCGCATACATCTTTACCCCATATTGCTGTTGATTTCCCCAGTTGCCGTATGAAACACCAGGGCGGATACTGTGAACTCTGCTACCTCTACGGAACCTACCACCTTGTGAAATTCTCTTTAGATCCATAGGTTGGATGTATTCCGTTTTGGACAATCCAAACATTTATCTGTAGTTTGTCACTTCGACTATTTATAATTGCTTGCTTTGTAGTTGAATACTCTTTCTAAATTATATCAGTTGATTTTATATTTAGTGTAATTGGCTATTTCATGTTGTAAAACGGTATCCTCTCTGTTAACATAACCAACGAAATCATTTGCAGCAGTTGTAAGTATTTAAGCAGTTTAATTACTTTATATTGAGATGTAAACTGCTTGGGATGGAAAGGTAACCGTTTTTTTATTTAAAAAAAAACCGCAATAAAATCTCACATTTATAGCCTCTTTTCTCCTCTCACACCTACGATTTTTTTCGCAACTGTCATTTCCCTCTTTCTCTTCCTTGTTCTCTTTCACATTCCCACTCCCTTTTCTTTAACCTAGAAAGACGCTCACACATCGTCGTCTTTTTTGTTTGCGCCGGAAGCGCCGTCCGCCGCTCCGAGTAACGACAACGGTCGCGTGCCAATCCCCATCCGAACCCATCTCTTTCGTGGTTAGTTTTTTTCTCTTGCTTATAGACCAATTTCCATTCTCGTAGATCCCAGCGTCGTCGCCGCCTTCCGTCGCACAACTCCCAATTGAACTGGTCTCTGTTATTCAATATTACGAACTACAAGTATCTAATTACCCTAGTAGTCGTTTATTCGCCAGGTAGCTTGTGTAGGATGAGCCTAATTACCCTATTTTATTTTGGAGATTTTTCGGAAGTACAGATCTATGTTTGGTGCCGCTTCGGTTACATTTTTTTCGAATTGGGCTCTGTTATTTTAAGGTTTACGGTCTACAAGTATCTAATTACCCTAGTATTTGTTTATTCGCCAAATTGCATGTGTAGGGTCAGCCTAATTACCCTGTTCCATTTTGGGGATTTTAGGGATTAGGGATCTATGTTTGGTGCCGCTTGGGTTACATGTTTTTAGATTTTTTATGGGGTTGAATCACTTTTCCAATTACATGTGAACATGAAATTAAAAAGTTTTCGGTTACCAGTAATTCGTTATGGAGTTGAGATACAACCATGGACAATAAGGTCATCCAAATTTTGTATACGGTCTCCCAGTAACCGAATATTTTTATATAGTAGACAAACACTAATAGACGTTTATGTAATACATTTTTCTAATTTTAGTTGTTTCATTGTTTTTTTTTTTCAGCTGATAAGTTATGAGCAGGTTTCCGGATAGAATGTTTGCCTTAGGCAACGAACCGGAAAATAAGAAGGTGAACACCTCCTTTCAGCTAACCTATCTTGACACAATCAGTTTTGCTCTCGAGGAAGACCATATGGAGAAGCTTTCATTGTCTCAGTTTGGAAAACTGATGGAAGCAGGTAACAAGATTGCTTCATCAGTTAGATTTCTTCACTTTATCTTGTCTCGGCAGCTAGTTACGAAGAAAAAAAAAGAGCTTTGGTGTCTATTCGCTGGCCAGCCAATCCATTTTTCTATTAGGGAGTTTGCTATTACGACAGGCCTTGATTGCTCCAAGTTGCCACCTCCGAAAAAGCTCAAAGAAGACCAGGTCAATGCCGAGACTATTGAGTTGTTTGGTTCAGAGAAGAATGCGACTCCTGGATGGATTGCAACAACACTTGCTGGCAGACCATACAAGGACAAAGAGACTAGATTTAAGCTAGCTTGCTTACTTCTTATCGATGGGATTGTATGCCCAACTTCTAGGAATGCAAAGATCAGTGCCGAGCACATTATGATATTGCAGGATGTTGATAAATTCCTGGAATATCCATGGGGTCGGAAATCTTTTGATTTGACCATACACAGCATCAAAACGAGGACGGCAACGACATCTTACCTTTGCCAGCCGACGTGTGCATTTCAGGGGTTTATACATGCATTACAAATGGTTATTTTGGAATGTGCTCCCGCTATTCTCAAGAAGGATCTGAAAGGAAAATCAAGCGAACCTAATTTGGTGGATGAAGACGATGAGGACGACGATACCCCCAGTATACGTCCTGGTTCTATGAAACCCGTAAACATCTCAATGCCGCATGTCAAGTCTCTTGACAAGTCTCAGAAGGTATGATAACCACACCCAGTATAATATTCATATATATATAGGCGGTTACTATTAGTAGATAGTCATTATAACCTAGTATATCAGACATACAAGAACTCTAACTAAACTTATTGATAGTCACTTATAAATAGACATTTTGCATAGACATTTTGCATGCTCTAACTAAACTTATTGATAGTCACTTATAAATAGACATTTTGCATAGTAACTGACTACTCCTACTATTTCTAGCTGTTATTGATCTAAGAAGTACTGTATAGTTTGTCAAAATAGACATTTTGCATAATACCATGACGTACTTGATAGTCAATTATAAATAGACAGTTGTCAAAGTAACCGACTACTCTAACTATTTCAAGCTGGTAGTTGATCTAAGATGTACTGTCCAGTTTGTCAAAACGATACATGCTCTAACATAACATATTTGATAGTCAACTACAAATAGACATATTTGAAAGTAACTGACTACTACTAATATTCCAATTTTCAGGTGGCTGTGAAATCAATTTTGCTGGACGACGAGAATATTTTGGATGATACCGACTTGGACCTGGATGATGATGTCCCAGACAAAAGTGTTGACAACTTGATCGCCGCAATCAACGACGGGGTTAAGTTTTCAAGGAAAACTTGGATTGGTGGTGAAAACGCAGGCGTTCATCTAAAGAATCCTAAGGCACCATCTTCATCCTCCCGGAATACACCTTCGGACGGGAAGTTCGATTCTGCTTCGGCTGCGACTATTGATAAGGTTCTAGATGCCATTTCCGTCATCGAATCCGAGATAAAAAGCCTTCGCGCATATTTCGGTGATCTCTGTACCGAAGTCTCTACCGCTCTGTCCACTTTTAAGCAACAACACCAGACTTTACCAGGGGCTTCATCGGTAGTCAAGCCACCTTCTCAAACAAAGACTAAGAAGAGGGTTAAATCAATTCCAATTCGCAAAAAGCATGTTAGGTTCCAACAGATTTCTTCTTCTGAGGAGACTAAGTCATCAGATTCATCTGAAGGTGATGACAGTGATAAGGTAACCAAAAACAAGGAATCGGCCAGTTCTTCTACTGATGGCGACGTTGCTGCCCAAGAAGACAGTGTAGAGGACGAATGCGAGGGATCTCGTGATGCTGGAGACCATGAAAGCCAACCGCATCTTGGCGCTGATGATGTCCAAGATGATGCAACACTCGCGCAAAATCAAATTGCTTCAGTGCTTTCTGATTTATCCGCAACTGTCCAAGTAAGTAGCCAACTAGTAATAGTTATATACGTCAAAATAGTCATATACTTATGCTAGATAAACCTGTTTTGCAGGTCAATGTAGATCCTTCCGAGAACCAGCCATTTGATCAAGTCAGTGAACCAAGCCGTGTGAACCCAGTTCATTCATCCGTTAACCATGCCAAGGAAGTCACGGATCAGGTATGTCTATACTTTTCATATATTGTAAACATAGTCGACTTTTCGATAATTGTCTACTTTTCCTCACAATATAGCAAATGGGAGACGACGGCCAAGCAAAAGATCAAATTGCTTCTGTGTTTTCTGATTTATCCGCAACTGTCCAAGTAAATAGCCAACTATTAATAGTTATATACGTAAACATAGTCATATACTTATGATAGAAAAGCCTGTTTTGCAGGTCAATGTAGATCCTTCCGAGAACCAGCCATTTGATCAAGTCAGTGAACCAAGCCGTGTGAACCCAGTTCATTCAACCGTTAACCATGCCAAGGAAGTCACGGATCAGGTATGTCTTTACTTTTCATTTATTGTAAACATAGTCGACTTCTCGATAATTGCCTACTTTTCTTCACAATATAGCAAATGGGAGACGACGGCCAAGCAGAAGATCAGGTTCGTCTAGCTAGTTGTCTACTTTACCTAAATAGAGAGTAGTAGTATAGTATATGATGTTTCGATATATACTAGAGTTCTTGGAGGAGCCCCCAAACCCCTACGAAGTAAACTTTGTTCACGCATCCGTCGAATCTCACTGTCAACAAGCACCTGTTGTGGCAACCGAGCAAACAGACGTCAACAAAGATGCCCCCCCTAAGGAGGTATTTACAGATATGCTAATTAATTACTATTTTCCTCACAAAGTCTCCTACTATTTTCCTCACAAAGTCTCCTACTTTTTATGTACATACTGTTTTGCAGGACACTCCGGAAGATGCCTTGGCTGCTGTCAAAGAGAACCAAGTTATTGCCCCGCCCGACCCTCGAGTCTCATCCCACGAGCAGGTTTGAATTAATAGTCGTCTATTTTTATAAATTAGTCAACTAAGAATATGCAGTGCATCACCAACTTTTTCAAACACAAAATGTAGGTGTTGGGCGATATTGATCCTCCTGGTTGGTCTCTTGGTCTCACACAGGAAGAGAAGAATATGGCTCAAACCTCGAAGAAGGGTGAAGAAGCACAGCTACCTACTCGTAAGAGTAAACGACTACCCGTGCCTTCAACACAGATGTCCGACTTTGTAGTCCCTCAACCTAAGCGTGTTAAGAAGAATGTGAACCCATTACAGCTGTCTCACTTCTTTCCAACACCCAAATTTGAACAAGTAATTCTCCTCCAAAATAGGATGAAGGACAATCGGTGAGTGACATATTATTGGTTGCTTTGCTTATGTTGTTGATAGTAAGTGTTAAATTCCCCAATATTTACCGCTTTTTATAGGAATTTGCCAAGATGGGATGGCGTAACCCTCTCTGTGAACATCTTGAAAGAGATCGTGGACTTAAAATTCCCGATTTCAGTTGTGGTAAACACCTTCCCAATAATTGTCTACTCTCACTTTTTAGTATACGACTACTAATTTGTGTTTCATGTCTATGATAGTCCATCGACAGCATCATTAGGTTATTGCGTCATCAATTGTCGGAACTGAACGACGATTAATGCACTTACGATTTCGTTGAGTACACGTTTCTTCATGGCATCATTCAGCTCCATCAGCAGTTTACCAATCCCTCTAAAAAGAAACTTGTCGCACTCCCATCTGGTTCAGCTGCGTATGTGAAAGCGAGGCGCTCATGGTACACACAGGTCGCTCGCATTTATTGCCCCTACCAAGTCGACGACAGATACTGGGTGGGCCTATGCATCGATTTTGAGAGCCACGATATTTACGTACTGAATGTCTTTGCAACCCTAAAAGAGCTGAAACTCAAGACAAGCGTCGCACCACTCGCGCAGTCTCTACCACATTTCATCAGGAGAGTCGCTTACAATTCAGAGATGAAAGCCGACGATCTCACGCCATTCACAATAAAAATTGTGAAACCAATCTTCCAAACCTCGATATCTGGTATTCCTACTTACACTTGGTCATCAGATATGTCCTAATCGACTACCTAGTAATCATTTACCTTTATTAATGTTAAACTCAGGTCATCTCGGTGTGCTGGCACTTATGGCTCTTCAATTGCACGCTGCGAATATGTCTCTAGACATTGTTGTTGCTGATGACATCGTACGGGATGCATCTCTGAAGTTTGCTTATGATCTACTCTGTTTACTCGAGCCGCCGTCTCTTTCCGACGTCGTCATTCCACAGGACCCTACTAATTGATCCTTTACCCACTCTGTTTTTTTAGTTTGCATGGATTTGAACCCCTTTGAACTACTCGTTGTATGATACTATTATGTTATCTATCGCTATATGAATTTGTGTTTGTCAACCTATTATAACGTTGTGTTGTTCCAATTGTCCTAATTAAGAAATATTTGTAGTCGACTTTTTATTACATTGTAGCTGTCGTCTTCATTACCACATCGTACCGAGTCTGGAAGAAAATAAACCGTTACCCATAAAACTACATACACCATATCCAAATGAATCTTAACTGAAGAGATTCAAGATACATTGCTGACTTATAAAACTCTTTAGACTACAAGAATAACGAATAAATATCTATCAATATTTGCCACATTGAAATCATTATAGTAAACTTTACATTACATTTCAGCTAACGGCTTGTTGATCAATCGCAAGGTGTCAAATAGTAAAGATTAAACAACTACCCATCGTCAACTATCCCATATTGACTACTCGACGCAGTGTAAGTTTAACGTCTACGATGAGTGCCCTAGTAGTAATCAACTACAGGTAGACAGCTTCTACTACAGATAAACTGATAAAACAACCAGATGAAACATATTTAAGAACACTCAAACTCCAAATAACATCTTATATGATACCAAATCCAAGCATAACAAAACATGTAGGGGAGACCCAAAAGTAATTGAGGCATTACAAACCAAAACGCAATATCTAGATAACATATTTCTAGGATGCATAGTAGCAAAAAAGCTTCAAATAAGGAGGAGCTAAGACTTTACATAAAATGTAGTCCCCTAACTTCCATTTTTGAAGTGCATCATACCCGATTCCCCCTGCCTCATCTCCCATTCATCTCTGCCATTTTTCTTACCTTTCATGCAGCGGAAGCTTGCATGACGCTTTGTTGTGACCCTTTCCAAGACACCTGCTGCAAATTCTCGCCGCCTTCCTCGAACGCCTCTGTTTAATGTGGAGAATAAATAATAGACAGTTATCTACTGTAGTCACTAACCAATAATCGTTTACAAGTAGTTACATATTATGTTAATAATAAATACCTTCAGTTCTCCTCGTGATGGGATCCTTGTTTTCCTTGGACGACCTGGTGGTCGGCGCATTAACGGTGGAAGTAGTTCTGTGCCTCCAGAATTTACAGGAGTTGGTACCGGATGGAAAGCTCCCTCGTAAAGGGATCTCCGGTACCTTGTGCTGTACACCTCTCCAACGAGCTTCTCAAGCTCAAGTGTGCTGAATGAACTAGCTGCCATTGCATGTCCGCACGGGATGAGAAGCATCTGAAACTCCCTGCAGCTGCATTTCTTCAAAACAAGGTTCACTTCGAATCTGTCCCCATGTCTGTTGTAAACTTCGTACTCATCCTCTCCGACAACAACCACCTACAAGTAAACATAGTTTTTTATAAGTAGACGATTATTGGTAGTTAAATATCAACAGACACTTGTATTGGACTATTTTAACCTTCAGCTCTGTGCTATCGTGAAAGTTTTCGTCCATCATGTCACGCACTTTCGGATTGATAGGGTATTGTTGTGCGGCAGCTGCAGCTTTCCTCCTTACAAACCAGCTGATAAGACTCATCCTAATGGCCTCAAGCATTGAGATTAGTGGAAACTCACAACACTCTTTCAAGACTTTGTTAAGGGACTCGGCCACATTTGTTGTCATTACATTGTACCGCTTGCCGAAACAGTACGCCCGAGTCTAGTGTGGCAATCCCAGATCCACTAAGTATTTTGCACAGTTTGGACTCACGTTCTGCAAATCGGCAAAGATCTGCTGAAACTCGTACACGGTATAAGCTTTAGCAGCTCGAACCATCAATCCTTGCAGCCGGCTTTCCTTAAAACGCGTGGTGATGTTTCTTGCGAGATGCACAAGGCAAGCACCATGGCCTGCATCTGGGTACACCTAAAACAACACAAGCCAAGCCATACATAAATAACCAACTATATATACTTACCTACTATCAAAAAGTACTAGGTTGCAAATAGTTGACTAAGATTATACCTTTCTGAGTCCTGAGTATATGCTGCCGTGCCGGTCCGAAACAAACATAACATCTCGGTCATTGGGAATGATTGTTTTTAAGCAATTGAAAAACCATTCATAAGAAGCATCATTCTCACTGTCCACAACCGCATATGCAATTGGGTAGATCTGAAAGTTCTCATCTTGGGCGCTGACACATATGAGACAACCCCCATATCTGCCTACCAGATGTGTCCTTGCACTTATACATAGATAATTACAGGTATACTCAAGTAGTCAACTATGGAAGTAGTCAATCATTTGTAGTCAACAACTTACCATCAATTATCACCACTGGTCTTAAGTATGGTAGTCCAGCAATAGATGCAGCAAAAAAGATGAATAGGTACTTGAACCTTTGACAACCATTTCTATCCACCCCAAATTCTGTTTTGCAAACTGTCCCTGGGTTAGAGCTTTGCAGATTCTCTAAATAGGAAGGGAGCAATGCGAAACTTCCAGACACTGATCCAAACGCTCTTTCCAATGCCAATTCCCTGCATCTCCAAGCCTTCCAATATGAAATGTTGACCTACATTCAAATAGTATACACAAACTCATACAACCAATTACTTTCACTAGATAGTGAACTACAAATAGTAGTTTACCGAAGACCAAATACCTGGAACTCCTGAAGCATTATTCGCTGAATTTCGATAGGACCGGGCCCTTTCTGTCCTGCCACAAATCTTGTTTGAATGAGCTCACCAATCACTTGTGTTGTGGCCTGTTTGTGATATTTCCGGCGGTCTTCAATAGGACATGTGTGTTTCAGCTTGGCCTTCTTAATTTGGAAGTTCCCTGTCGCATCCATGATGGAAGCGTATACCCGCCATGGACATGTTGGATTAATGCAAAGGAACTCCATGTAATTCGGTGTTGATCGTGGTTTCCTAAAGTGGAATTTTCTGTTTATGGCGTGAATAGCCAACTTTGTTTCTGAAGATTCTGCCAACAAAAATACCATCACCTTCATAGCGCATGTCTCTCAATGCACCGTCTATCCCTGCCCACCAAATTTAGGTCAAATACGTTACTACTATCCTACTATCCTGGTAAATAACTACTATAATAAACATTTACCAGTAGTCAACTACATACCATCATCAGAAACTTCATCGACAACCGGTGGAGCATCTCTTCCAAACATCGCCGGAAACTCTTCTGTCTCAGAGAAAACACCATTAATCGTCTCGTCCGCGAAACTGTTCCTGCTTGAATGGCGGCTACATTCTCCCTTTTCGTAAACCGGCATTTTAGCCTTGCCTTTCCCACGATCCTTTCTCGCCGGATTGATTTCCTCCTCTGGGTCCTCCATCCCATCATATTCCCCGTTGTCACTGTTACCCAGATCGGATTCCTCGAAACACTTCTCAAACTCCGGCTCCTCGCCAGCAGCCAACTCGTCCACCTTCTCACATCCCTCTCCTTCGGAGGACTCTGCCAAAAGTAACACACTACCCAGTAAACAATCTTACCTAATATAGTTACCTACCTAATAGTGAACTATTTTATGACATATATGACTAACATTTGGGACTACCTGACTACTAACTGACCGACTACTATGTACTACATACCGTTGTTGTTTGCGACATTTTCCTCCGTTTGGTTGTTAACCACCAAAGGTGAGTCATTTCGTTCAGGAATCGCCACACCTTCATCCGAATCGCCTTCTGTTGTGACGCACAGGTTCAGCTGGTCGATATCTGCCCTCATCTCCACAAAAAGAGCCACTTTATCGTCGGAAGACATCAAAACCGGTGGCGCGTCGCGACCGTCGTCCATCAGCATGTATGACGGCCACTGGAAGGTCAGAGTTACGCCCACATCTTCCTTGATATCCATTTTCTCTTTCACGAGCTTCACTACCTCACGAAATGTCATCCTCGCGCTAAGGAATACCGCTTTGGTATTCCCAGTCCGTTCCGTTAAGAAAGTCCACACGCCGTTGCTCTGTTCGAACCATTTTCCTTTCACCAACAACACCATTTGTCTTCCTGCCATCTACAACAACAAGACCAATGTTCAATAAGTATGTAACTACAAATAAAAAGTAGTCACATTAGTGGCGTACAAGTAGTCGTACCTTTCGATCACAAATAAGTAGACAAACCCTAGGTAAATTGTTTACTAGCGGCGGATTATGTGAGTTGTTATCTTCCTCTCTATTTATTTGATGGTCCTGAGGGTCCCCTCCCTAAACCTATCCGTACAACTCTTACTAAACGACAACTTATTTTGGGGATAAAGTTAACGTTGTTAGTGTTAAAAAGGGAAGGTAGCGTCTGCGAATTGGCAAGCTCGTGTGGTCCCTGTCCCGCTCAGAAAAAGTGTTGTCTACTTTTAGGGAGCAAGGGGTATACTGTAATTTCCCTTCTCCTTTTTTGGTTACTTCTGTTACCAACTTAATTGACTGCAAAGCTCTGTCCTTCGCCTAATTTGCGCTCGCAGAAGTAATATTGGTGCAAATCATCCATAAATTAAAGGGTTGTAAAGAGTTTTGAAGGCCCATTTAAAGGTCTATGCAAATAAATAAATTTGTACAGTATCTAGCAAATAAATCTGCTGTAGCACAAAGGTTAATTTCAAGTCATTGAATATCCGGGTTCCTTCTTCCCAAAGGGGTGACAGACAAACTGAGTAGTGCCATAGCTAACTTTTGGTGGAGCTCGAAACAAAATAGTTGTGGTATCCATTGGATTGCTTGGGATAAGATTTGTATCCCCCAGGATATGGGAGGACTGGGATTTAGGGATCTAAAAGATTTTAACCTAGCACTGCTTGCTAAGCAGCTATGGAGACTCATCCAATACCCGTCTTCACTTCTGGCACGTGTGCTAAGAGGACGATATTACCGACAATCGGATCCACTAGAGGACCGAAAAATCTACTCACCATCTTATGGATGGAGGAGTATGATGGCGGCCAAGCCGTATCTCCAAATGGGAATCAGGAAGACAATTGGATCAGGACTTAACACAAGAGCCTGGAGTGAGCCGTGGATCCCCGATGAAAGAGCTCGACCCCCAAGAGCTGCCCCTCAGATCGGTTTTCAGGAACCAGGAATGTTAGTTTACCATCTTATCGATTAAGATACAAAGCAATGGGATGAACCTCTCCTCCGTCTTCTATTCCAACCTGAGGATGTCTCCCTTATCCTTGGGCTGAGACCTAGCCGGAACCGGACCCTTGATGGATATGCGTGGAACCATACTAAATCGGGGATATACTCGGTCAAATCAGGTTATGAGTTGATTAGGAGAACGAAGTTGGCTCAAAATTTGAATATCGTCGCAGAACCAAGTATCAAAGCCCTTCTTAGCTTCCTTTGGAAGATTCGGGCACCTGGAAAGATGAAGCATATGATGTGGCAAGCCTTATCAGGTTGTATTGCTACTTGTCAAAATTTGACCTATAGGCATATGGGATCGGATAAACAGTGCCCCCGCTGTGGGAACCCTGAAGAATCTATTAACCACCTCCTGTTTTTATGTCCCCCGGGCTTACAAGTCTGGGCGTTATCGGACTTTCCGTCCCTTCCGGGTCTCTTCCCGAGCACTTCTATTTATCAAAATATGAGTTTCCTCTTTTGGAATACAAAAGAGTTATGCATGATAGATCCACAAAAGGATTTTTATCCTTGGATTCTGTGGTATATTTGGAAAGCGAGGAATGACAAGATCTTTGACGGGAAAGAAACCTCCCCCGTAGACACTTTGATCCACGCCAAGATTGAAGCGGAAAGCTGGAAGACTGCAAACGAGCCGAAAGACGTTGAAGAGGCTGCATTATCGCCTTCCCCCAGTCCTTCGCTCCGGACCTCTCCTCTAGATGACCAGCGGTTCCCAACTTGCCAGGTGGATGCATCCTGGATAGGTAATAGTCTGGTTAGTGGTCTTGGATGGAGCCTAAAGGAGGAAGAGAGTGGTGAAGTCTTTGGACTTCAAGGCTGCCGTCGAAGTCTCTCAGCTCTTCACGCCGAGCTGGAAAGCCTCCTGTGGGCTATGTCATGTCTGATAGATAGAGGGGTCTTATATGTGCATTTTCAGTCCGACTGTTTGGACTTGATAAGTATGACAGAATCGCCATCGGACTGGCCATCCTTCTTATCAGAGTTAGAAGTCTTCCAAAACCTCCGAGGAAACTTCGGGATCTTCACTCTCTCCCACATTCCTAGAATTTTGAATACTCGAGCGGATACTCTAGCAAAAGGAGCTCGAGCGAAAGGCATTATCTTTTTCCAAATCATTCATAACGAGCCAATGACGGGAAGTTTTTCGAATCAACCTTTAAATTGGCCAATTGTGATGTAATAGTGGGTAGTGGAAAAAAAAAAAAAAAAAAAAAGAATATCCGGGTTCCAAGCCCGGCAGCTGAATAATTTTTAATTTTGTACGAAAACAGATAGTCAACCGAGCCAAATTTCTCATAAACCCTAGTTTCCTTATTTGTTAATTCCTTTTCTCCTCACCCAAAATTGTGGTTTTGAGTTTTGACGATTTTGGGTTTAGCGAGAGAAGAAATGGAGAGCCGAATTCTCGAAAACTGGAACATATATCGATCTTTCCTCGGAACATTAGTAAGTTCGGAGAAAGTTCGAAACTTTATCATGTCGTTTTCTCGAATTTGACCCGGTTAGATCGCCTGAAACATATCGACGCTGTTGCTTGTGTTCTTCTTTTTCTAAATCGCATTTCCTCTAATGTATTCTTCGATACTCTATGGAAGAAGATCTCTCGTGTTACAGAAATGGCCTAATCTGAGAGGTTCAGTGCAAAATGTATTCTCTGCTTTTTCCAGTTCCTTCTTCTCCTCTAGTGCTGCTGATGTAAGCGCTCCTCAAGATGGTCGAAAAGGGAGCAACTTTACAGTCTCTTACCTCGTTGAGTCACTGGGGTTCACTACGAAACTCGCAGAATCGATCTCGAGGAAAGTCTGGTCCGAGGGAAAGGGAGATCCAGATTCTGTATTGAGCCTTCTTAGGAGTCATGGGTTCACAGGTCCTCAAATCTCTAGCATCATTAGGGCTTTCCCAGGATTGCTCATATTAGATGCTGAGAAATCTATTGGTCCCAAGCTTCAGTTTCTTCAGTCCAGAGGAGCTTCAAGCTCTGAGCTCACTGAGATTCTTTCTAAAGTCCCTAAGATCTTGGCACTGAGATGGGAGAAAGCAATCTGCAAACACTACGATTTCGTCAAAAACATCATAAATGCGGATCAGAGTTCCAAAGGATACGAAAAGTCTTGTCAGTCTTCTATGCCACAAGCTAATAAACTCAGAAATGTATTGGTTTTGAAAGAGCTTGGTGTGCCTCAGAAGCTGTTGTTCTCTATGCTCATCTCCGATACACATGTCTGCTGTGGGAAAGAAAGATTTGAAGAATCCGTCAAGAAGGTTGTTGACATGGGCATTGATCCGACAACCTTAAAGTTTGTCGATGCTCTACACGCTGTTTACCAAATGAGCGACAAAACGATTGAAGAAAAGGTAAACGTCTATAAAAGTTTTGGCTTTGATGTCGAAGACGTATGGGCAATGTTTAAGAAGTGGCCGAAGTTTCTGATTTACTCGGAGCAAAAGATAGTGGACTCCATTGAAACATTACTAGGCCTTGGGTTCACCAGAGATGAGTTTGTGATGATGTGCAAGCGCTTTCCTCAGTTACTTGGATGTTCCTCAGAGACATTGTTGAAGAAGACTGAGTTTGTGGTGAAGAAGATGAACTGGCCACTAAAGGCCGTGGCTTCAACACCTGCAGTACTTGGATACAGCATGGAGAAGAGGATTGTACCAAGGTGTAACGTAATTAAAGCTCTCATGTCCAAAGGATTGCTTGGAAAGGGAAGTGAACTTCCTTCAATGTCGTATGTCTTGGCGATTACCGATCAAGCCTTCTTAAACAAGTATGTGAAGAAGCATGATGATAAAGAGCTGGTGTCTGAGCTTATGGCTATCTTGACCAGAGGTCGTGTTTCATAGATAAAAAGGCTTGTCAAGGATTTTGCTTTTCTTTATCTATATCACTAAAATTCGTTTTTTTTTTTCTTCTGTTCGTCTCCACATACTTAGATTCTTGCGACTTGGTTGAGTTCCGCAAGTGAATGAGATTTGAGTTGGATCCTATGAAAGATACAACACCCATCAGTCTTTTGTTCTTACCCGCTCATTAGCAAGTTTGTAGATATTTTGGGATTTGCGATTTGTCTTTCTCGAATTGAATCAAAATATTGACTTTTTGTCAAAGCGAGTCTGCTTTTTCTAGTTCGTTCTTCTCTACTAGGTCTGCTCTAATACGAGGTCCTGTCAGTGTTGAAGAAGCATGGTTCATGGTTGAGCTCCATCTTGTTTACGTTCTGTTTTCATGGTTTTGCTTTTGGCAACTTCTTGCAACATATCTTAGTTGCAGTTTCGATAGCATCGCATATTCTTAACAAATGGCTTGTATCCATCAGGTCACTGCAGCAAGTGCAGGTTAAAATTTATCTACAGTGAACTCACAAGTTAAACTTTTCATTTGATTGTGATCAATTTTTCTGATGCCTTTCTTCTACTTGCAAGTTCTTTTTCGAGGAAGAAGCAGAGGGAAATGGCAGCTTCATGACCCCAAGAGGCTTTGGGCGAAGGACAATGGTATGGAAAATGCTGAGAGCAGAACCGGCAAAAGATCGATGAAAAAGATAGCAACGCCAATAAATTGAAGCACTTGCAGAGGAAAATCGTAGGATCTCAAAATGTGTATGCCAAGAAAGTTGTTGGAAACTTTGTAATTGTGCACCAAATCTCTACAGGTTCCATGAAATTTATAAACAGGATTAATCCCGTTTCAATCATACTTCTTGTTTGTAGAGATAACGTTTGAGATCACTGAGATAGTTTGCATATTTTTGTTTTTTTCCTCCTATTGGTGATTTGAGAATTTCAGTGAACTTTTTGCAAAATGGGTTCTCTGCTTTTTCCAGTTTCTTCTCCTCTGCAAGTGCTGCTGCTGATGTGAGCCCTCCTCAAGATGGTCGAAAAGAGAAGACTTTCACTGTCTCATACCTCGTTGAGTCACTGGGTTTCACTGGAAAACTCGCAGAATCGATCTCAAGGAAAGCCAGCTCCGAGGGCAAGGGAGATTCAGATTCTGTTCTGAATCTTTTGACTAGTAATGGGCTCACGGATTCTCAGATCTCTGACATCGTTAGAGCTTACCCACGATTGTTCATATTGGATGCTGAGAAATTACTTGCTCCAAAGCTTCAGTTTTTACAGTCCAGAGGAGCTTCGACCTTTGAGCTCACTGAGATCCTTTCAAAATTTCCTCATATCTTGGGAATGAGATGGCAGAAAGCTATCAGCAGATACTATGATTTCATCAAAGAGATTGTAGAAGCGGATAAGAGTTCCAAGTTCGAAAAGTTATCTCATTCTTTGCCACAGGGTAGTCAGCAGGAGAATATCATCAGAAATGTATTGGCTTTGAGAGAAATTGGTGTGCCTCAGAAGCTGTTGTTCTCTTTGCTCGTCTCTAGTTTCCAGACTGTATCTGGAAAAGAAAGATTTGAAGAATCGCTCAAGAAGTTTGTTGGGTTGGGTTTTGATCCTACCACGCCAAAGTTTGTCCAAGCTCTGCGTGTTGTTTATCAAATGAGCGAGAAGACGATAGAAGAAAAACTCCAAGTCCATGAAAGGTTAGGCTTTGCTGTGGGAGATGTATGGGAAATTTTCAAGAAGAATCCATCCTTTCTGGCACTCTCTGAGAAGAATATATTGAACTCCATGGAAACATTTCTAAGCCTAGGATTCACCAGAGATGAGTTCACGATGATGGTCAAGCGCTATCCTCCCTGCATCGGATTATCCGCAGAGACTGTGAAGAAGAAGACTGAGTTTGTGGTGGAGAAGATGAATTGGTCACTAAAGGCACTGGTTTTGTTTCCTCCGGTATTTGGATACAGCTTGGAGAAGAGGATTGTCCCAAGGTGTAACGTGATCAAAGCTCTCATGTCCAAAGGGTTGCTCGGAAGTAAGCTCCCTCCATTGCCGTCTGTGTTGGCGATTACCAATGAAGCCTTCGTTCTCAAGTATGTGAAGAAACATGATGACAAAGAGCTGGTGCTTGAGCTTTTGGCTATCTTCACAAGAGGTCGTGTTTCATAGATCACAATGCTTGTCAAGGATTTTGCTTTTCTTTATGAAATGAAAAACCTCAATACTAGACTTTTGTAGTCTCAATTTGATCTGAACCGTTTTTCTCTATATCCTTAAAACTGTAATTTTGAATCTCTTTTCCTTTATCTTATTGAGGAAAAGAGATTTCTTTGTTTTTGATTTCTTTGTGACCATTGAAGTTTAAAACCGAGAAGTGAGGATATTGGTTGTCTTGTCTCCTTCATATCCCCAAAACATCCTACAACATTGATTTTGTGTTCTTTCAATGTGCAACGATGATGTTACAAGATTTCTCTGCATAGCTAGAAGAAAAACCTCAAGGAAGATTAAGGCAAGAGGAAGAAATGAGAAGACTTGAACCTTAAAAGTATGGAGCTGATGCTGATAGTGCAGTTACAATCAAAGGAAGAAGCTCATAAGAAGATGCCAATTTACATATTTCCAGTAACAATCAGCTTAGTGACAAGACCAGGGTTCGAATACCACTAGAAACATATGATATATCATAGAACCTATTTTGGCGATTAGGGTTTCGAGAGCAAGTAGAAGCAGATTCATAAGAACAAGTAGAAGCAGATTCTGCTTGTCTTTCTCTTGTGCTCCTTTGCATTGTCATGTATACTCTGATACTCCATGGGAAAAGAGCTATCGAGTTGCAGAAATGGCGTAACTTGAGAGATTCAGTGAGGCTTTTGCAGAATGCGTTTGCTTTCTCCAATTCTTTCTCCACCGCTAGTGCTGCTGCGCAAGTGGGTCCTAAAGATGGTCGTAAAGGAAACTCTTTTACAGTCTCTTACCTCGTTGATTCACTGGGTTTAGATACAGAGCTCGCAGAATCGATCTCAAGGAATGTCAGCTTTGAGGACAAAGGTAATCCAGATTCTGTTCTGAGTCTTTTCAGAAGTTATGGGTTCGCAGATTCTCACATCTCCAACATCATTACTGGTTATCCACTATTGCTTATAGCAGATGCTGAGACATCCATTGGTCCAAAGCTTGAGTCTTTGCAGTCTAGAGGAGCTTCAACCTCTGAGCTCACCGAGATTCTTTCAAAAGTTCCAAAAATCTTGGGAAAGGACAGATCTTTCAGCGTGTACTATGATTTCGTCAAAGAGATTGTAGAAGCAGATAAGAGCTCCAAGTTCAAAAAGTTATGTCATTCTCCTCTGCCACAGGGTAGTAAGCAGGAGAACAAAATCAGAAATATTTTGGCTTTGAGAGAACTTGGTGTGCCTCAACGATTGTTGTTCCCTTTGCTCATCTCAAGAAGCCCACATGTCTGTGGAAAAGAGAAATTTGAAAAATCTCTCAAGAAAGTGGTTGAGATGGGTTTTGATCCCACCACGCCAAAGTTTCTCGAAGCTCTGCGCAGTGTTCAGAGATTGAAGGAAGAGACAATAGAAGAGAGAGTCAATGTATATAAAAGTTTAGGCTTTGCTGTGGAAGATGTGTGGGCAATATTCAAGAAGTATCCGATTTTTCTGACACTCTCGGAGAAGAAAATATTGAACTCCATGGAGACATCTCTAGGCCTAGGATTCACCAAAGATGAGTTCGTGTTGATGGTAAAACGACATCCTGCCTTCATTGCATATTCTGCAGAGATGGTCAAGAAGAAGACTGAGTTTCTGGTGAAGAAGATGAGCTGGCCTTTCGCTGGTTTGCGCCCTGAGATATTTTCATACAGCTTTGAGAAGAGGATTGTACCAAGGTGTAACGTAATCAAAGCTCTCATGTCCAAAGGATTGCTCGGAAGTGAACTGCCTTCAATGACGCGTGTCTTGGCATGTAGAAATCAGGTGTTCTTAGAAAGATATGTGAGGAAGCACGATGACAAGAAGCTTGTAGCTGAATTAATGTCTATTTTCACTGGTGATCGTGTTGGTTCTTACAGAGGCTCACTTGAATGAAGCATTAACAGTTGTTAGTTTGTAATCACTTCGCAAATAGGATTGTTATTCAAATAGGAATTTTGTATAATGATTCTCTCTGAGAGGAACTGAGATTCTAAAACTACTTGGCAAGTAATAGCAGACATTAACCTGATCTGTTGATAGTTTATGGAGATTTCCATACGCCGAGATACTGTAATCGTTTTGTTGATTATCAAGTTAACATGCTTGCTTGGAATCTTCCTCTTAGAGAGAATCATAATACAAAAGTCCTATTTGAAGGAAGATTGTAAGAATCTAATCAGCCTAGTCAACAAAAAATCTCTTAAGTTTGGAAGCCATAATTGGATAAGAGAAATGTAGAAGAGAATATCGAACTTAACTCGTCTTATTGAATAACGATATAAGGGGTATTTATACATTACAGACTCTTGACAAAACCCTAAGGCAGAAGATATATTCCAAATATACAAAAAGATATTTTCCTTATTCTACAAGATACGTAGTTATCTCCTAATACCCTCCCTTACGTTGGAGCATGAAGATTCTGAACGCCCAACTTGGACAATAACATTTCAAATTGCATTCGTCCTAGAACCTTTGTCAAAATGTCTGTGGGCTGCTCTTTCGTACGAATGTGCTCAGTAGTTATCAAACCATCACGGACGGCGTCACGAACGGCATGGCAATCAGACTCAATGTGCTTAGTTCGTTCGTGAAAAACTGGATTTGCAGCAATTTGTAGAGCTGCTTTGCTATCACAAAATAAGCTAGTTGGCGCAGACTGTTCGACACCCAACTCCTTCATTAAACGACGTAACCATTTGATCTCACGAAGAGCATCCGCCATAGAACGATATTCGGCCTCGGTCGTAGAATGTGAGACAGTATCTTGTTTCTTTGTCTTCCAAGAAATAGGTGAACCCTCAAGCAACACAACAAACGCACTCAACGACCGACGAGTTAACGGACAAGAGGCTCAATCCGAATCACAATAAACCGTAAGAGAGAAATCCTTATCAGCTTTAAGCAAAATACCTTGACCTGGAGAACCCTTTAAATATCGAACCACACGAATGGCAGCAGTCCAATGTGCTTGACGAGGCTGCTTCATAAACTGAGAGAGCAAGTGTACTGAATAGCTCAACTCAGGACATGTGTGAGTTAGATAGATGAGACGACCAACAAGGCGTCGATAAGGCGTTGGATCAGTGAGATATGGACTGTCATCGCTGGCGAGATGATGGTTCGGTTCCATAGGTGTAAGAGCCGGTCGTGAGCCAAGGTTTCCAGTATCCGCAATAAGATCTAAGGCATACTTGCGTTGGCACAAAAAAATTCCTTCAGGACTTCGACTCACTTCGATACCCAAGAAATATTTCAATTTTCCCAGATCTTTCATAGCAAAACATTTCCCCAAGTAATCCTTGAATTTACCGAGCATGTACTTATCATTCCCACAGATAAGCAAATCAATTACATAGATCAAAACACGTATCTCAATACCGGTTCGCGAATAAGAGAACAAGGAGTAATCCTCGTAAGACTGAACGAACCCAAATTTGAGTAAAGAATCTGACAATTTCTTGAACCAACACCTTGGTGCCTGTTTAAGGCCATACAAAAACTTCCGTAAACGGCAAACTTTATTAGGATGTGTATGCCGAAAACCAAGAGGAAGCTTCATATAAACCTCCTCATGAAGATCACCGTGGAGAAAGACATTATGCACATCCATTTGAGACACTTCCCAATCATTTGCGGCAGCAAGACGAAGAATAGTACGGACAGTGGTCATTTTGATAATAGGAGCAAAAGTTTCACCATAATCTTCACCTTCGATCTGCCTGTTTCCTTGGATAACAAGTCGAGACTTATACCGTTCAACTGTACCATCAGCATTGAACTTTGTTTAAAGACCCACTGACAGCCGATGGCAGTCTTACCCGGTGGCAAATCAGTAATATCCCAAGTATGATTTTTCTCCAGCGCAACAACTTCAGCATCCATATAATCATTCCAAACATCAATCGCAACTGCTTCTTTGAAGTTCTTAGGCTCATTAGAGGCTGTAATTGCAGCAAGAAACACCTGATGCTGTGGAGAAAAAATAGCATCAGAGACATAATTTGCCAAGGGATACAGTGAATTACCTTGAACCGTAGACGAGGACACAGAAGTGGAGTTGAGGAGAGCGTGATGGGTATCGTGTGGCAAGGCAGAGACGTTGTAAGTAACAAAGTCCTTTAAACGAGTAGAGGGAATACGTTCCCGATGACCTCTGCCTAGCTGAACTTCAGGAATTTGTTGCACTAGAACAGGCGTAACTGGATCAACAATTGCCGGCTGCAAAATCTCAGACACCACATCAGAAGGGGGATCCTCAACAACGTCCGCAGAAGTTTCTACTGGAGGGACTGGTGTAGTAGTATCTACTGGGGTCTGTTGTTGAGCTCCAACAGGTGGTGTAGACGGCAGACAAATATCATGATCACCCTCCCTTACTATCGACGTGGGGGAAATAATCCAATCATCATCGTAAGCAACAACTGGTGGAGAAGGTGGGATTAAAGAGGGTGTATTCGCTGCATAGGGAAAAACATCCTCCCTAAAGATAACATCACGTGAGACAAAGAACATCTTCCGCTCAACATCGTATACTTTCCAACCTTTCTTGCCAAAAGGGTACCCAACGAACACGCACAACCGACTACGCTCGCCAAATTTATCTTTATCTCTAGTAACACGGTGAACATAACATGCGGAGCCAAAAACATGCAACTGTGTGTAGTCGGGCTTGTGACCATGAATCATCTCATACAGAGAGCGACCTTGATGAATAGAGGAAGGTGTTCGATTAATCAAATATGCAGCAGTGAGGACTGCTTCACCCCAAAATGAAACCGGTAAGTTGACCTGAAATAGCAGTGCTCGAGACACATTCAATATGTGTCTATGTTTGCGTTCGACAAGGCCATTTTGTTGTGGAGTACCGACACAAGACATCTGATGAACAATGCCGTGTTGTCGAAAATACGAGGAGAGACACATGAACTCTGTACCATTATCGCTCCGAACTACTTTGACAGCTTTACCATATTGTTTCTCCGCATAGGCCAAAAAATTTGTTGGCACAGTTTTAACCTCTGATTTCGCAAGCATCAGATAAGTCCAAACTGCACGCGAGAAGTCGTTGACGATAGTTAAAAAGTATACAGCTCCACAAGAGGAGGGAATTCTGTATGGCCCATACACATCACAATGGATTAACGAAAAACACTCAGATGTTTTATTAGTATTATCTGGAAAAACTTTTCGAGTTTGTTTAGCTTTAAAACACACGTCACAAGGACTAGAGCTAACTGAAATTGACGAAAACAAAGGTAAAGCTGAAAGCATTGAAAAACTAGGATGTCCTAAACGCTGATGCCACAAAGTCAAATCTTGAAACGCCTTAACTGTGTGAACTTTAGCTGTAGCAACATTCGTCAGAAAGTAAACCCCATCACGCTCTTCACCTCTTCCAATCAGAGTCCTCGTAAAACGGTCCTGAAAACACAAAGAGTATCGGTTAAAGTTGCAAAGCAATTTGTCTGTTTCAAAAACTTAGAAACCGAGATCAAAGTGCAATTTAAAGAAGGCACATAAAGGACATTCATCAGTGAGATGGTGTCCGATAATGGGAATACGCCCATGTGCACAGAAAACGTCTTGTTCCCATATGCAAAACCGATCGAACAAGGTGGTATAGAAACAAGATCCACTAAAAGAGAGCTGTCACCTGTCATATGATGTGAGGCACCAGTGTCAAGAATAACATCGCCAAACTTGGCCTTACCAGACAATTTATCGGCACCACCATGTGCAGATTTGTCTTGGATCATCTGCGTAAGAACTCGCCATTGGTCTTCGGTGAATTCGGGAAAAACTGAAGCATTAAAACTCGTCGCACGTGTAGCCATCGCCTGACCTCGGCCGCGACCGCTACTACCACCACGACCTCCACGACCGCGAGAACCACCAGCACGTCCACCACCGGTGCGTTCAGTGTACCATTCCGGAAATCCCACGATCTGCCAGCAGTCTTTCTTCTCATGAACACTGCGACCACAGTCGGAGCACTGCATCGTCTTTTTCAAAATTGACAGCTCCGGTCTACTGCCTCCTTGCTACTCACTGCGAACAGATGATCCGATTTGGCGAGTTGTAAAGCCCACCGCTTCATGCGTCTGCTCGCGTGCAATAACCGATGCCAACCTCTGTTCTTCGCGCACCACTCTGGAGTAAACTTCTCCGATAGACGGCAGAGGATCCATCCCGATGAGAGCAGTACACAAGCTACCATAACGAGAATCATCCAGTCCTAAAATCAACTGATGAACTTTTTCTTCATCACGTTCTTGGACAATCTCCCGAGCTGCTCCACACGTACACATCGGTAGTGGCCGATAAATCACAAACTCCTCCCAAAGTGTGCACAGCCGCCCGTAATAATCCAAGACAGATTGACCATCTTGACGACACACTGCGAGTTGGGCTTTGATTTGGTGTAGACGCATCTTATTTCCGACCCAGAGACAAAGCTTCAACTCCATCCACAACTGGCTCGCCTCTGCAAAAAACGGGACAACAACTTCACATTTGGTTCTATAGAGGCTCGAATCCAACCCAGCACCATCGAATTCACAGCCACCCAAGAATCATAATCGGTACTCCCGATCTCTGGTTTTTTTTCAAAGAACCATTGATAAACCCATTTTTTCGTTTGGCTTGGAGTGCGTTCAGCATCTCGTTTGCCCACTGGTTATCTCCGTTTAAAAACATCGGAGTAATCAATGAACCCGGCTTATCGGATCCATACAGGGCATACGTCTCCACCGCAACGTTACCACTTTTCTTGAGACGTCACCGATATCACCAGATTTCGCCACACATGTATCCTCCGAAGACATCATTAAAAACTTACTGAGTTCAAACTATGAACTTTTCAAAGAGAAATCGTTCAAACTATGAACAAAAAACAACTGAAAAAAACTCGATTTTGGAAGAGTTTTTAGATCGCTGTAAGCTCTGATACCATGTAAAAGAGGATATCGAACTTAACTTGTCTTATTAAATAATGATATAAATGGTATTTATACATTACAAACTCTCGACAAAACCCTAAAGCAGAAAGTATATTCCAAATATATAAAAGGATATTTTCCTTATTCTACAAGATACGTAGTTATCTCCTAATAAGAAATATGGGAGTGGAGTAAGCGATTTAAAAATCTAAAGTTCATCTGGACGAACAGGGAGAACAATCAAGTTGCAGATATTTTTGGGAAAGCACCGTTACATTCATCTTATGTAGTCCATTATTATGTTCCAAATATCATAACTGATGTATTACATTCAGACTATATTAGTCAAATATAATAAAGTTTAGACGTTAAAAAATATATCTATATATATCCGGAAAAGCAGTGGAGAGATCAATAACTAAACCCAATTGAATAAGTTACTAACCGGGTCAAATTATTCTGGTTTTGTCTAGAGAAATTGTGATTAGTTGTGACGTTTTTCTTTTAACTAAACTTAAATGAACTTTAAAACTCTATCTTTTGGGTCTTTATTGGGCTAATGAGCCGTAATAAGCCCATTTACTCAGACAAAGTTGATGTCATAAACCCTATTTTCGGTTTCCTCCACCAAAATTTGATTTTGGAACGGTTCTTGAGTAAGTCGCAGACTCGATCATATTTATTGATCGTTGAGTGATTTTTTTTCCTCTTCTTCCATGTTCCCTTGTAAGTTAGTAGAAGTTTAAAGATTTATCCTTTGGAGATTCGTCTTCTCGAATTGAAACAGACATTGTAACTTCCTTTCTTCGTTCTCCTCTGCTTCTTTTGCATTTCCTTGTCATGTATTCTGTCATACTCCATGGAACAAGGTCTACCATTGAGAAATGGCGTAATTTGAGATTAGCAGTGAACTTTCTGCAAAATGCTTCAGCTTTCTCCAATTCCTTCTCTTCGGCTAGTGTTTTTGATGTGACCCCTAGAGATGGTCGTCGAAAAGGTAAGTCTTTCACTGTCTCTTACCTCGTTGATTCTCTGGGTTTAACTAAAAACCTCGCCGAATCGATCTCTAGGAAACTCAGTTTGGAAGACAAGAGGAATCCGGATTCAATTCTAAGTCTTTTCAGAAGTTATGGGTTCACAGATACTCAAATCTCCAGCATCATTACGGATTATCCAGGATTGCTTTTAGCAGATGCTGAGAAATCTATAGGTCCCAAGCTAAAGTTGCTGCTTTCAATGAAAGGGGCTTCAAGCTCTGAGCTCACTGAGATTGTCTCAAAAGTTCCAGAAATCTTGGGAAAAGACAGATCTATCTGCATGTACTATGATTCTGTGAAATGCATTATAGAAGCTGATAAGCGTTCAAGTTATGAAAAGCTAAGTCATTCTTTCCCACAGAATAGTCTAGAGAACAAAGTTCGAAACGTATCGGTTTTGAGAGAATTGGGTATGCCTCAGCGTTTGTTACTCCCTTTGCTCGTCTTAAAATGCCCACATGTCTGTGGGAAAGAGAGATTCGAGGAATCCCTCAAGAAAGTGGTTGAGATGGGTTTTGATCCGACAACCTCAAAGTTTGTCTTAGCTCTGCGTATGCTTTACCAAATGAGCGACAAGACGATTGAAGACAAGGTCCAAGTCTATAAATGTTTAGGCTTTACTGTGGAAGATATATGGGAGATTTTCAAGAGTAGTCCTTCTTTTCTGAAAGTATCTAAGAATAAGATATTGAAATCCATTGAAACATTTATAGGCCTAGGAATCAGCAGGGATGAGTTTTTGATGATGGTCAAACGCTATCCTCCGTGCGTTGAGTATTCTGCAGAGTCGGTTAAAAGAAGACTGAGTTTGTGGTGAAGAAGATGAATTGGTCACTAAAGGCTTTAGCTTCAAATCCTGCGGTATTTGGATACAACATGGAGAAGAGGATTGTACCAAGGTGTAACGTAATCAAAGCTCTCTTGTCCAAAGGATTGCTTGGAAAGGGAAGTGAGCTCCCTCCAGTGTCGTCTGTTTTGTCGTGTACGGATGAGAAGTTCTTAAACAAGTATGTGATGAAACACGAAAAGCTAGAGCCTGAGTTAATGGCTATCTACATCAGAGAACGTGCTTCATAGACCTGAAGACACTCCCTCAACAATGAGCAACGTTAAGGTTTGTTCTGTTTTATGTTAGTTTTATTTGTTTTTGACAACAAAAACGTGAAGCAAAAGATGAGCTTTTGTTTGTGCATCCTTGAAACCCAATTTTGTGCTTTTGTAATCTCTAGACTTGGATCCAACCTGATTCCTTCTAATATGGAAAATCCGAGTGGGGAACTAACAACTCTGTAATTTTGAATCTTTAATGGTAAGCCTAGAAGTAGCAAAGCAACACAGCTGCGAAGAGAAGGCCATGTCAAGGTCAATACTTCTTTGTGATATCCAAGCATGTATATTTCGTCACTCTTTTGGATTTCTTGTGCAGAACTTTTAGATTTCTTGTGCAGAACTTTTAGATTATATGGTCTCTTACTCTTTTTTTTTTTTTTTTGTATTAGGCTGTATTAAAACCTTTCTCTTATTTGGTGGTTTGTGAAAAATAAGGTGTGTTTTTGACGTTTTTGTTCTGTTGGTATGTAGACTTTTGATGCACATCTTCTAGAACAATGCAACTGTTGGAATCAAACCCATTTCGACTTTTGTAATCTCAAGATCAACAGGTGTTTGGTATCTCTAAATGTGAATGAATACCTTTGAGCTTCCAAAGAAACAAGCCGATTGCAAATTACCACTGAATTGTGGAATCTAATTACAAAGTAATCTTCACATAATGTTTACAAAGATTCTAAAACGTTTTTTTTTCTTCTATAGTTTCAAAATTTAATTCAGCACTTGATCGTAAGTAAAATTGATCCATAAAAAGATCTCTTACCTTAATGTGTTCAATATATAGTTTGTGACAGAGCTCAATTTTTAAGGTTTTTGAGAAGGAGAAGAGACGAAACAATGAAGAAAGCCACCTGAAATTATGCACCAACTCTTCATCTATACTTAGATTTTGTAAAGGTAGACTGAAAAAATCTGGCGTAATTTGAACGATTTATCTAATCGTGTCTGATTTACTTGAGATTGAACGACATCATTGGTTTAATATATTTTGCAGTAAATAAATTTTGGAACTCTACAAGAAAGAGTAAAAAGACCAATCGTGTCTGGACAGGTGATAAGCTAGAGACTCCTTATTAATAGTATGATTTTATTTCCAAAATACAAATCATCTTAATTTAGTCTCCATATTCCGCCGATCTCAATCTTTTGTTTCAAATTATGAACCATTAACCCTAAATGTCGTTTCTTTTTTTTTCAATTTAAAGATACGTTTGTTTACTCACTCAGATTCTTTCTAAAGGCGTCATTAGAGACTGGTATATGTATATGTGTATGCGGTCAAGAGTTGTCAAAAACAATGAGTTAATCTGACCATTGAAGATGGTTTGGTAACAATAGTAGTAGCTGTGAGAAGATAATAAGAGAAGAGGAAAATTATAAGTTTGGTAACAATCTGAGTGTGTTTTACGACTTCTCTTTCCATCCAAACATATGATCTTTCTCTTCCTTGTTGTCTTCTCCTCAGCTACTACTTTTGTTACCAAACAAATTGCAATCCCTGAAGCTAGTATTGACTGTAATCATCAGTAATCAATCAATCAGTATCGTATGAGCGAAGTGAGTAGAATGTTGATTTAATTTTTCATAACCAATCACCTAACCATAAGAAATTTTGAGGAACAAATACTTTACCAGTTAGTGAACCAACAGTAAACCAATTTAGCCATTTAAACCCAGTTTTTGATTTGTGCTCAACCGGGTCCAGAGCTAAACCCTAGAAATCGTTTTCTTCCTCCCCCCAAAGTTTGGATCTTTGCGATTGAATGATCTCTTAAACAGAGATGCAGATTCTTGAATTAGCCGAACATTCATTGTGTGAGTCTTTTGTTCTTTCTCGGCTATTTATGTAAGTTTGCAGAAGTTTTGAGATTTTAGCATCGAAGCTTCAACACTGTCGAGTTTTTCTGGTTCTCTCTACTTCCTTCTCTTCTGGTAGTTTCATTGCCTTGTCATCATGTATTCTTTGATACTCCATGGAAAAAGGTCTATTGAGTTTCAGAAATGGCGTAATTTGAGTGTTTCAGTGAAGCTTCTGCAAAATGTTTCCAGTTCCTACTCTTCTGCTACTGCTCCTGCAACTGTGACCCACCAAAGAGATGGTCGAAAAGGGAAGACTTTTACAGTCTCTTACCTCGTTAAATCATTGGGTCTATCTAAAAAACTCGCCGAATCGATTTCGACGAAGGTCAGCTTCGAGGACAAGAGCAATCCAGATTCTGTTCTGAATCTTCTTAGAAGTCACAAGTTCACAGATTCTCAGATCTCAGGCATCGTTAGGAGCTATCCACGATTGCTTACGTTAGATGCTGAGAAGTCCCTTGGTCCCAAGCTTCATTTTTTGCAGTCGATGAAAGGAGCTTCAAGCTCTGAACTTACTGAGATTGTTTCTACAGTTCCTAAGATCTTGGGAAAGAAAGGGGAAAAAACGATCAGTGTATACTATGGTTTCGTGAGAGATATTATCGAAGCCGACAAGTGTTCTACGTTAGAAAAGTTGTGTCTTTCTTCTTCCCCACAGGGTAATCTGGAGAATAAGATCAGAAATGTATCGGCTTTGAGAGGATTAGGCGTGCCTCAGAGATTGTTGTTCAACTTGCTCATCTCCAGTTACCAACCTGTGTGTGGAAAAGAGAGATTTGAAGCATCTCTCAAGAAGGTCGTTGAGATGGGTTTTGATCCAACAAACCCAAAGTTTGTGCAAGCTCTACACGTTGTTTACCAAATGAGCGATAAAACGATTGAAGAAAAAGTCGATGTCTATAAAAGGCTAGGCTTTGCTGTGTCTCATGTATGGGAAATATTCAAGAAATGGCCTTTCTCTCTCAAGTTCTCGGAGAAGAAGATTACTCAGACTTTTGAAACGCTTAAAAGGTGTGGTCTGCTTGACGACGAGGTCCGGTCAGTGTTGAAGAGGAATCCACAGTTCATACGCGTTTCAGAACAGAACATAGTTAACTCCATTGAAACGTTTATAGGTTTAGGATTCAGCAGAGATGACGTCACGTTGATGATCAAGCGATATCCTGAGTGCATTGGATCTTCTGCAGAGACGATCAAGAAGAAGACTGAGTTTTTTGTTAAGAAGATGAATTGGCCACTAGAGTCTGTGGTTTCGCACCCTCAGGTATTGAACTACAGCATGGAGAAGAGGATAGTTCCAAGGTGCAATGTAATCAAAGCTCTTATATCAAAAGGATTGCTCGGAGATGAAGTAAGTGAAGTCCCTCCATTGTCGTCTGTTCTTGCGTGTACTGATCAGACCTTCTTAAACAGGTATGTGATGAAGCGGGACAAGCTGGTGCCTGAATTGATGGCTATCTTCACCAGAGATAATAAGGCTCGCCTAGAACAATGAGTAGCATCAAAGATTTTTGTTTTGCATTAGTTATAGACTCATGGTGAATCTTTTGTAATCTCAGTTTGACCTGTATCCCTTCTATTTGCAATACGATCTATTTATGATCTTTGGTTTTTCTCTTTAGCTAAGTTGATCTCTGAATTTGCATCTCGGGGTCGGGGTGTTACCTTTTTTGTTTCTAGTAATTTGGTGTCTAGCTTTATGGTAATATAGATTTGGACATATGCATCTACTCTAAGCTTTGTATATGGTCATTGTCCTGCTTGATCCATCATGTCTTCCTTTTTCCTGATTTTCAAAAGAGAAGCAAAAGCTTGAACTTTGTAGAGAGTATTGAGGAGAGAGGATCACTGGCAGCTAAATCCATATATTTTGTGTTTGCTGATTCAAAAAAAAAGTTGAGAACATTTTGTTGGTTATATAGTTCGCTATTCCCATTCTGAATCATATATTTGTTATTCGAAATAGAATGGTATTTCATAGTCTCTGGATCAGCATTTTATCCCTAGGATGCAGTGGGACAATTTTTTGGCTTCAAAGATTGAATCTTCTCGTTGTTTCAAGATTTGTTGCAAGACTATTTAAGTGGACAGCTATTACATGTATTGGTTTTTGCTTGGTTTGTGTTTCTTTTGATCTTTTCTTGAAGTGAAGTTAGTGTTTTGGTATGTGAAAAAATGTTATGCGTTTGTTATGGATAGTACCAAGAGGCATACCAAGAATCCCCAAGCTCAAGAACACGCAACTAAATCTAATATCCGGTAATAGCGATAAAATTTTTATGCGAATAACAGTCAAGTGAATAACTTTCGCACATTTTTTTGTTGAGATTATTTGAATTGTTGAATTATTGGCACAATTTGAATTATTGAAACCAAACCAAATGTTTGTTTCTTCATTTATACCTTACATGTCCTGGTCTAGAAAACAAAAGTTGCGTGCATCTAATGTTAACGTTGACGCTTAAGACTTGTGAATTGTGATAATAATAGTGAGGCCGTTTGATTGACTTTCAGAACATTTACAATTTACAATAAATATACAGTAAATTATATTTTGAAGTTTTTCAGATATTTAGTTAAGAAGAATACAAATACTCATATGCTTCACGTTTTTGGGTACACCAGGCGGAGAAACCTAGGTCGATTGTATGAACAGATCTTTTCATTATTTTCATCATTTCCACTATTTTCTAAATTTTTTAATATTTGTCAATTATTTTTTACAGAATTAATTGAAAAGGAAGACAATATTTAAAATGGAAATTTCATATTATGTTTTCTCAATATTTCTAATTACAGAAAAAGTAAGAAAGAAAGATAAAATGGAAAAATATATTTGATATTATCTTCTTTTTTTGGTCAAATATATTTGATATATCCAAAAAAATCTTCTTCTTCTCTCTGAACATTCCAATTTTATCATTTACAATTATAAAAATTTCCAACATTTTCCATTTAACTTCTTACAACATTAATAGGTAAGAAAAAAAGGTAAAAAATGGAAAAATATATCACAATAACTTCTTCTTGGTATATATCACAATCTTATAAGTCTAGATAGATATAGTTTTGCCAGGTGTCAACATGTGGTTAGATGCGTTCAGCTTTATATATATTGTTGTTATCTAACGTTTATTGAGAAAGCAAAAAAGATAATTACCTCTCTACTCTATAAGAGTGACCATAATTAAAAAGATAGCCATTGAGTTTGATGATAATGTCTGGCACAGAAGAAATGTCAAATGTCAAAAACACTATCCCGGTTAACGTTAATGGTTCGTCGCCGACCATTGTGAGAGCTTCCATCGTCCAAGCCTCCACCGTGTATAACGATACTCCGGCCACTCTAGAAAAGGCGGAGAAGTATATTGCGGAGGCGGCCAGCGACGGAGCAGAGCTGGTTCTGTTCCCGGAAGCGTTTATCGGTGGTTATCCACGCGGGTTTAGGTTCGGTATGGGTGTTGGTGTTTTCAGCGAAGATGGTCGTGATGAGTTTCGCAAGTATCATGCTTCTGCTATTCATGTTCCTGGTACAACTTTATACACTACCACTAATCAGTAGGATATAACGTTTCAAAATTACCCTTAAATTGTTTGAAAAATATTTTTGATAGATGAGTAGTATTTTTTTCTGTAAAGATTTTAACTATTTTATCGAAAAATGGTTCATATATCATTTATGGTAAATCAGGCGGAGAATCTTACGTCGTTTATTGAAGAAGAATACAAATGTGGTTATAGATATTTTATTCCGTAACACCAATAAAAACGAGGATAGTTATTTACGATAGATAAGTACTATTCTTCTTTGTACATATCTATTTGTATTATTGTTTAACTTTTGTTCCAACAAGAATCCAAATGAATTATTGGCTCTCTCTCTCTCTTTATGTGTGACAGAAATTAAAAGTTAAGGCTTTGAGTTGATAATGACTCGAGTGTGATACAAGTTTTGTTCAAAACTTACCCAAAAAAGAAATTAAATTTCCTTTTTGGTTTTTTTTTTGCCGTTAGTTATCGACAGCTACAGTTTCCGACTTAAAAAATTTTACATTTAAGTTTTAATTATTTTGCGAAATATTAACCTTTCGATTATTTACATAATTGATTGAACTGTTGGAATTTTTTACACCTTATTTATCAATCAGACTTTAATATTTAGTGAGTCCCATATAAAATCTACAGCTTTTACATTCATCTATTGTTTTCATGTTGTACAGTTGTATACAAGTAACATATTCAACTTTTTTGGTTTTATGATACATTGGCAGGTCCTGAGGTAGACCGTCTAGCAGATATGGCGAGGAAACACAGTGTTTACTTGGTAATGGGGGCAATAGAGAAAGATGGCTATACATGCTATTGCACAGCCCTTTTCTTCAATCCTCAAGGACAGTTCTTGGGTAAACACCGTAAACTTATGCCAACAACTTTGGAGCGTTGCATTTGGGGCTATGGTGATGGATCAACTATCCCGGTTTACGATACTCCCATTGGCAAACTTGGTGCTGCTATTTGCTGGGAAAATCGGATGCCTCTTTTCAGAACCTCATTGTACGCTAAAGGTCAATCCTCATCACTCTAACATCAGCCAAAACATAAAAACTTGCGTATTTCGTAGACTTTTAACTCAAAATCAATTGACAATAAGTAAAATATATTAAGTGTTTTGTACCTTTTAACTCCGGAATATTAACATAGTTATTTTTTTTTGGACAGGCGTTGAGGTTTATTGTGCACCTACGGCTGATGATTCCAAGGAATGGCAGTCGTCAATGATGCACATTGCACTCGAGGGTGGATGTTTTGTGTTGTCAGCTTGCCAACTCTGCCGGCGTAAAGATTTCCCTGATCATTCTGACTTCTTGTTTCCGGACTTAGACGACAAGAACACCAAAAACGACGATGACACTATTGTCTCCAAAGGTGGCAGTGTCATTATTTCCCCATTGGGAAAGGTTCTTGCTGGACCAAACTTTGAAGACGAATGTCTTGTCACAGCTGATCTCGGTATATATATCTACAAGTGTCTTCACTTTCACTACTTTTAAGATGATTTGACTTAATTCTATCAATGATATTCTTTTTATTTTTGTCATCCAGATCTTGGTGATGTAGCAAGAGCCAAGTTATACTTTGATGTGGTGGGACATTACTCAAAGCCGGATGTTTTCAACTTGACCGTGAATGAGCATCCAAGGAAACCGGTTACATTTGTGTCCAAGGTGGAGAAACCGGAGAATGACTCCGAGACAAAATAAAGAGTTGTGTTTGGTCAGCTTATCCTATCCAGAACTTCTTAAAGTTAATGTGAGTCGTGTGTTTGAGTCTGCAAGTTTGAAACTTTCTTATTGAGTTCCGAAACTTTGGTAGAGTTTGGTTTTCATTCTTCTGTTCAATAATGTACCAAATGAATTTGGTAAAGGTCTATGTTGGTTAATATAAACCAATGAGATCTCTTCTCTTATATTTTTCATATTGTGCAATCTATTTCAAGTTGAAGTACCTTTATGTTTGATCCAATTTGAGTGTTGAATACAATTATGTGTCACTGATTTGAAAAAAGTGTGCTACAATGTGATTTATACAGAATCAATTGAACCATAAGTTAAGTTAAACCGATACTGAAAAGATAAACCAGAAACTGGTTTAACACAAGTGATAGTCCCCTGAAGATTGAGTATAGTGGTGTCAAATTGGGTTCTGATCCGCGGGTTCGGCCCAAGTAAAACAGCAGCGGTGTGGGATTGGATTTCATAAAATTTATTCAAATAAAATGCGGATTTCGCGGTTTAAACCAACGTGGAAGTTGGGTTTTTGCGGGTCGGGTCAGAGCGGATCCGCGGGTTTGTGGTCCAATCCGCATAATTTGATGTTTTCTTGTAAAGCTTGAAAAGTGAAGTATTTTGTCATCTTTGATTGGTGGATTTCAAAGTACTAGTTTCATAGAGTAAATCGAAACCTAGTGGAGTCACACAATTCAGCTATTGGGCTTGGTGATAGATTAATTTCAATGAGATCAAGGAATCATCAAACTGGTATGTGTTTTATATTCGATTCGATTCAGATTCTGTGATTGAATTTTTGAATTTGAGAGAAAATCTGGTCGTTGTCTTCCCAACCAAAAACTAGTATTTTTTTTAATGTTTTAATTTCAGTTTAATATCATAAGTTTGCTTTTATTGTTGGTTTTGCTCATCGACTATATCACGAACGTGTTTTTATTTTATCTGCAGCGATGCAAAAGTAATTTAGAATCGCTTAAATTTTGAATTGACAATAAATAATTTTGCTTGAGAATCATATTTATTTATACGCTGGACTAACAAATAAGCTTTGTTTATTTTTTTTTTGATTTTATATGTGAATGTCTTGTTGCTTATATCTTGATGGTTCTCTACCTTAAATTACCAGTTTTGATGTGTATCATTATTTGTAATTTATTTATTTGCTTTTCAACATTAAGTGTCTATTTTTACGGTTAAATTGATTTTTCACATCTTATGGCATCCTAGGGTTAGGAGTTTTGTATAAGAGGTTTATCGAATTCGTTTATTTGTTCATCGAATTTATTTAAACAAGAATTTTCTTTAGTCTTATTTCTTATGTTGTGATTCAGTTACGAGCAAAATTTTATTCTTCTCTTGTAGATTTTCTGGTTCTATAAGTCTAAATGTCATAAAAACTTTAAGATAAAAAAGAAAATATGAACCTGCGAGCCAGCCCGTAAAACCATTAATATAATTGAGTGAGGTTTGAACACATCAATTTAAGACCGCAGCTTATGATGGGATAGCCTGCCAATCCCGAAAAAAAATTAAACTCGCATCAAATCGGGCTATTTGGGGTTAGCCGGTTTGACATCTCTAATTGAGCATAGATCTTGTAGAACCCTAATACCGTCCACATTTTGCGATTTTGAGTTCGGTAAGTGATGAGCTTTGTCGGATCAAAACCTCTTTAGTAGTAATTTTGAGACATAAGTGTGGGATTGATTTGTTGGTTCTATCCTTCCTTCTCTTAAGTTCCCTTGTCATCATGTATTCTCTGATACTCCATGGAAAAAGATATGTTGAGTTGCAGAAATGGCGTAACTTGAGAGATTCAGTGAAGCTTTTGCAGAATGTGTTTGCTTTTTCCAATTCATTCTCCTCAGATGTGAGCCCTCGTCAAGATGGTCGAAAAGAGAAGATTTTTACAGTCTCTTGCCTCGTTGATTCATTGGGTCTTACTTAAAAACTCGCAGAATCGATCTCAAAGAAAGTCAGCTCCGAGGGCAAGGGAGATCCTGATTCTGTTCCGAAACTTCTTAGGAGTCATGGGTTCACAGATCCTCAGATCGCCGACATCATTACGGATTATCCACTATTGCTTATAGCAGATGCTGAGAAATCTATTGGTCCAAAGCTTCAGTTTTGCAATCCAGAGGAGCTTCACCCTCTGAGCTCACCGAGATTGTTTCTACAGTTCCTAAAATCTTGGGTAAGAAAGGGGTAAAAACTATCAGTATATACTATGATTTCGTGAAAGGGGTTATAGAAGCGGATAAGAGTTCCAAGTTCGAAAAGTTATCTCATTCTTTGCCACAGGGTAGTAAGCAGGAGAATAAGCTCCGAAAAATATTGGCTTTGAGATAACTTGGTGTGCCTCAGAAGCTGTTATTCTCTATGCTCATCTGCAATGTCCAAATTGTAAGCGGAAAAGAAAGATTTGAAGAATCCCTCAAGAAGGTTGTTGGGATGGGCTTTGATCCGACAAACTTCAATATACCTGAAAATAGATAAATACAAATTTTCAGTGACTACATATTCATGAGGCAAAACAACTTTAAGATGTTTTCAAGAGTCCCAACTCTAATCTCATTTTCATGACCATAATCAATCTCTGTTAAATTTTAGATTTTTCTTTGGATCTTTTGATGCTGACTATAGGAAAGAGAAGAAGAGCTTCGATATATAATTATATGAGTTTCTGAAGCCATTTTTGGCTTTTTGTAATTTCAGTTTGACCCTAGTGTAACTCTGATGTGCAATCCAACTAGGACAATAACAAATTGTAATATTTGTTTTTCCGGAAGCTTGTCTCGAGTTTCTTTTTTGTTGATCCTGAAGTTACAGTATTCCAAATACAGGAAAGAGAGACTGTATAATACAGCAAAAACAATAAGAAAAGGTTGGATTTTTGACTCCTATGTCAAATCTTCGATAATTTCATTTATCACTAATTAAGAAACTCAGGGTTTAGGAGTAGTGGAGGAGGTACTAGAGATTCTATTTTGCTCGAAGGAATGTTCATTGTTCTTGTGCCTTGCTAGCTTCTTCCTTAGAATGTTCTTCACTAACAGGTAAAAAATATTCTAACCCCTTTCAGGTCAGTTTTGATTGTCTTTCTCATGATTCTTAGTTAATGTTTCTTCTCACATTTGGTAATCAGTTTTCTTGTTGGTTTCTAGATTGAGCTTGGTCTCTCTGTAGTCTGTAGTTGATGGTATTATTGAAATGTCCCAACCTCGATTTATCCGATCTCTTCAGCTCAAAAGAATGGATCTGTACATGATTATCTTAAAAAGATTAAATCAATGTTTCAGATAACTCATCTATATTGTTATACACTTCTTATGCTTCTTGGATACATGGTCCTAATCCGTTTTAAGCAGATTCTGCGTCAAGTGTGCCTTGTAGTGTGTTTTAGACACTAAAGATATACATTGTAAAGGCAGATTTAGGCTCTGCAACGGAGCAATCGGAAACGTAACAATAGAGTATGATTCACTGAACGATGAGTGAGTTTCTTGTTCTTCCTTGCTCAGTAGTAAGTTTAGTAGAAATTTAACAGAGCTGGGCGATTTCGTTTCTCGAACAATAACTCTAGGGTTTGTTGTTTCTGTCCTTCCTTCTCTTCTGTTCCTTTTTTTCCGTCATGTATTCTCTGATACTCTATGGAAAAAGGTCGGTCCAGTTGCAAAAATGGCCTAGTTTGAGAGTTTCAGTGAAGCTTTTGCAGAATGCTTTTGCTTCTTCCAATTCCTTCTCCTCTGCTACTGCTAATAGTCCTGAAGATAGTCGAAAAGGGAAAAACTTTACAGTCTCTTATCATAGAAGCAGATAAGAGCTCCAAGTTCAAAAAGTTATGTCATTCTCCTCTGCCACAGGGTAGTAGGCAGGAGAATAAAATCAGAAATATATTGGCTTTGAGAGAACTTGGTGTGCTTCAGAAGCTGTTGTTCTCTCTGCTCGTCTCCAATTTCCAGTCTGTATCTGGAAACAAAAGATTTGAAGAATCTCTGAAGAAGGTGGTTGAGATGGGTTTTGATCCGAAGACCCCAAAGTTTATATAGGCTCTAAACGTTGTATACTGCTTGAGTGAGAAAACAACAGAAGAGAAAGTCAATGTATATTATGTAGGAGGTTAGGCTTTGCTGTGGGCGATGTATGGGATAATTTCAAGAAGAATCCACTCTTTCTGGCTCGCTCGGAGAAGAAGATAGCCAACTCCATTGAAACATTTCTAGGCCTAGGATTCAGCAGAGATGAGTTCACGATGATGGTCAAGCGCTGAAAAAGCATTTCTCTTCATGTGGAGAGGTCACTCGGGTTTTACTTGAGGTTTGTGATGACTCTCATTTTTCCCAACTTTCAGGTTATTTAAATGCTTCAGCTAAAGACTTGTCTTTGTTCGAGTTTTACAGGGATGAAGTTGAAGTGCATATTGTGGGAGAAGACGCAGCAGAGAAGGCTCTGGAACTTAGTCGTGTGATCGACATTGGACGACGCAAAGTAGTTGCTGACTTTGAGTCTCCATCGGCAAAGTACACTGTCCACAAGCATCGTGTTTGTCCTGTCCTTCGTCGCCCAGGTGCACAAATTTGTTCTTGATTCTTGATTCTTGATTTTTTGATTCTTGGTAACAAAGTAAAACCTTTCGTGGTTTTATTTTTTAGGTAAGAGGGCTAAGAGGACCGCGGCAGAGTTGAAAGTTCTCTCTTCGGAGGACAAAATGAAGCTCTTTTGGTGTTATTATTATTTCTTTTTTTTTAACTTTGTGATGCAATGCAACCTTCCTTTGAGCGAGAGGCTAAAAAGTGATAATGTAAAAAAAGGCCAAAATGCCATAAGTATAATAATTAATTTAATTTAGATTTTTGTTTAAATTCAAAATCCTGGAAAATCCTACCTTTTTCTTGAAAGTTCGATTTATTTACATCAAAATCAGGGACAAACCCATCTAGTTATCGGTTAATTTGTTAACCCGACCCATTCAAAATTATTTTAATTATTTGAATTAAATATTTATGAAAACCGTTTTTTCTTTTCATTTTCTCTCCCTTTTCTTCATTTTATTCTAAACTTTTCAACTCTCTTCTTCTTCACACTCCTTCGAATCGAAAACCGATTCGCAACTTCCCTCAAAACAGTTAAAGCCCTAATATTGCTTTCTAAACACCGTAGAATTGATTTCTTCTGGCGAATATCGCGAATCTGAGAAGGTTGCGTGAATCCCGAATCTCCGATTTATGGCGAAGGTGAGAAACAACGGCCAAGAGTATGAGTCTTCTTCTTCAGCGG